CACTAAGAAAATGAAGGATAAAAATCTTACAATATTCTCATTAGATGCAGAAAAACATTTGACAAAATTCAACACTCATTTATGATAAAAATCCTCAACCAAGTGAGTATAAAGGGAACATATCTCTATATAATAGAGGTCATGTATGACAAGCCCACAGCTAACATCATACTCAATAATGAAATCTGAAAGTTTTCCCTGAAGATCAGAAACAAAACAAGGATGCCCACTCTCACCACTTTTATTCAACATAGTGTAGGCATACCTCAGAGATATGTGGGTTTGGTTCCAGATCACTGCAATAAAGTAAATACCACAGTAGAGGCAAATGATTTTTTTTTGTTTCCCAGTGCATATGAAAATTATGTTTATACCAAACTGTAGTCTATTAAGTATTCAATAGCATTATGCACCTTAATTAAAATCAGTTTATTGCTAAAAAAATGCTAACCTGAGTTCTAAGCAAATCATAATCACTGATCACAGACACCAAAAAAAATGCAATAATAATGAAAATGTTTGAAGTACTGCAAGAATTACCAAAATGTGGTACAAAGACACAAAGTGGGCAAATGCTTACAAAGTGAGGCACAAAGTTGGAAAAATGGTGCTGATAGGATTGCTGGACACAGGGTTGCCACAAGCCTTCAATTTGTCAAAAATGTAATCTCTGCAAACCTCTGTAAAGTGAAGTGCAATAAAATGAGGTAGGCCTGTATGAGAAGTCCTAACTAGAGCAGTTAGGCAAGAAAAATAAATAGACGGCATCTAAATTGGAAAACAAAGGAAAACTTGTCAATATTTGCAGACAATATGATTTTATATATAGAAAACTCTAAAAACTTCACCAAAAACTGTCAGGATTACTAAACAAACTCAGTGAAGTTAGAGGGTACGAATCAATATTTTAAAAAACCTGTGTGTTTCTATACAATAACAATAAACTATTAAAAGAGAAATTAAGGAAACAATCCATTTACAATTGCATAAAAAAAAATCTAACCAAGGAGGGCAAAGCCTTGTACACTGGAAACTATATGACATTGATGAAAGAAACTGAAGAAGACACAAATAAATGGAAAGATATTCTGTGCTCATAGGTTAGAAGAATTAATATTAAAATGTTCATATTACCTAAAGCAATCTATAAATCAATGCAATCCCTATTAAAATCTGAAATTCCCACTCATCCAACACCAAATACAATGACGTCTTTTTTTCCCTACATATATGTATAACAATAACAACATTATACACAGCAGTAATAGTAGTATAACTCCATTCAGTTTCCTGGACCCAATTTCATTGTGTGTAAGTATGTGGGAGGGGGTTCTTCCCACACATACTAACACCAAACAACTCTTGGGCACCCTGGTGTGAGAACTCAACTCAAATTCTGATGCTATCTGCCAGGAGACAGCACAAGATTCCAGGTTAAGGGCTCTGTCCTACAAGACTGCCCTCTACCCACCACTCCAGACACTGGTTGCAAGCCCCATTCAGTTTCTGTTCTTCTGACCTACTGCCTACAGATTGGAGGTTCCCATGACCTCCCCCTTAGGTTCAATTAATTTGCTACAGTGGCTCACAGAACTCAGGAAAACACTATGTTTACCAGTTTAATAAAGGATTCCATAAAGGATACAAATTAACAGCCAGATGAAGAGAGACACAGGCCAAGGTCCCAAATAAAGGAGCTTCTTTCCTCATGGAGCTTAAGGCCTGGCTTAGGCATTCTGATTCCCCAAGCATAGAAGCTCTCTCTGACCGAGAAGCAGGATCCAGCCAAGCAGAGCAGGCAGCAGAGCAAAGAGAGAGCAAAAAGCTCTTCTCAGGGGGGTTTGTGAAGGCTTCATTGCATAGTCGTGATTGATTAGATTATTGGCCATTGGCTGATTCACCCTCACTGCCCTTGGGTGGGTGGGGGTCCAAAAGTCTCTCATTAATATGACAAAATGCCTGTTTCACCTTTAAGACTCTGCAGTGTTTTCAGGAACTGTGGATGAAGACCATATATACCTAGGAAATATATGTTTGGTCATATGAATGACCAAATATGAATTTTTATAACTCATTATATCACAAAATCCAAATGACATTTTTCCTTAAATAAAACAAATGATCTTAAAATCTGTATGGAACCACAAAAGACCACAAATAACCAAAGCAATCTTGAGAAAGAAGAACAAAGCTGGAGACATCATGATTCCTGATATCAAATTATAATGCAAAGCTGTTGTAATCAAAACAGTATGATATTGGTCTAAAAATAGACACATAAATCAATAGAACAGAATAGAGAGTCCAGAAATAAACTCACACATATATAGTCAATTAATTTATTACAAAGGAGGCAAGAACAAACAATGGGGAAAAGAGAGTTTCTTAATAAATAGTGCTGGGAAAATTGGACAGCCACATGAAAAAGAACAAACCTTATACCATTCAGAAAAATAACTAAAAATGGATTAAAGACTTGAATGTAAAACCTGACACCATAAAACTCCTAGAAGAAAACATAGGCCTGTCTGAAAATTCCTTGGCATCAGTCTTCGTGATGACATTTTTGGATGAAACTATGAAAGCAAAAAGCAACAAAAGCAAAAATTAACAAGTGGGACTACTTCAAACTGAAAAGCTTCTGCACAGCAAAGTAAACTACCAACAAATGAAAAAGCAGCCTACTGAATGGGAGAAGATATTTGCAAATCATATATCTGATAAGGGGTTAATATCCAAAATATATAAGACCTCATACAACTCAACATAAAAAAAAACCCCAAACAATTTGAAAAATGGACAGAAGATCTGAATAGAGATTTTTCCAAAGACGACATACAGATGGCCAACAGACACATGAAAAAATGCTCAACATCACTAATCATCAGGGAAATACAAATCAAAGCCATGAGAGATCACCTCACATTGTTAGAATGGCTATTATAAAAAGACAAAAATAGCGAATGTTGGCAAGGATGTGGGGAAGAGAACCCTCACGTACTGTTGGTGGGAATGTAAATTGTATGAATAGAGATTTTTCCAAAGATGACATACAGATGGGTTTGACATACAATATGAGGGCTCCTCAAAAAAAATAAAAATAGAACTACCACATGATCTAGCAATTCTCTTTCTCTGGCTATATCTGAAGAAAACTAAAACACTAATTCAAACATACATATGCACCCCATGGTCATGTCAGTGTTATTTACAATAGCTAAGATATGGAAACGAAGTGTCTGTCCATGGATGGATAGATAAAGAAGTTGTGGTATATATACACAACGGAATATTACTCAGCCATTAAACAAAATGAAATGTTGCTATTTGTCAACATGGATAGACCTTGAGGTATTATGCCAAGTGAAGTAAGTTAGATGGAAAAAGACAAATACCCTATGTTCTTATTTATATGTGGATTCTAAAAAACAAAACTCATAGATACAGAGAATAGAATGGTCGTTGCCATGTGGAGTGTAGATTAAGTAGGTGAGGGGGGTCAAGAGGTACAAACTTCCAGTTATAAAAAAAGTCATGGAGCTGTAATATGCAGCATGGTGTCTATAATCAATCATGTAGTGGATATTTGAAAGATACCAAGAGAGTAAATCTTAAAACTTCTCATCATCACAAAGAAAAATTTTGTAACTGTATGGTCGCAGATGGTAACTAGACTTTGTGTGGTGATCATTTCACAGGGTACACAAATACCAAATCATTAGGTTGTACACCTGAAACTAATGTTGTATGTCAATTACACCTCAAAAAAAAGTAAGAAATGATCATTATAAGAGCATTTGTAAAATACAGAATAAAGTATAATGAAGAAAACAAAAATTACTTTTACTTCTAATCCACGGATACACAGTAACTGGATATACCTCTTTCTAGGCTAATTGTATTAAGCCTTTTATTATCTTAAATGTTGTCCCAAGATATCAAGTATTTTCTACAACATGTTACTTCTGAATGACTGTAATAGTATTCCTTATTACGGGGATACCAAAACCTATGTCACCAGTCCCATGCTCTTGTGTAGTTGTTATTTCACTGTTTCCTAATCATAAACTGTGATGGTAGGAATATCCTTAAAAATAAAAACTTGCACTTATTCATGATTTCCTTTGTATAAAGTCCAAGAAATAAGATTGCTGGGTCAACGGTTATGCACATTTTAAAGGCATTTGACACCCATTACCAAATACATAAGTGTATTTTAACACTCATTTTATTGAAGTTTATCCTTTTATTAATGATTTCCCTTAAAAAAATCTTTCTAGCTTTTTATCTTACATTTATTGTCTACCTTAATTCTGACACAAATATTTGTTGTATTTTGTTAAGAAAAAGAACACCACAATACTGAACGCCAGGAATACCAAAATGCAGTCTTGTTAAGGAAAAAAGAAGAACGAATATACTCTTAGCTAATGTTATTTCTCTTTCCTTTTGCCAAAACAGACTCTGGCATTTTATTAAGGCAAGTAAATATATATTACATGTACAGGGCGGGTGGTCTCTCTGCCTGTATTCAAGCACACATCAATTGCCTCTTCTTACTATAGCTTTGTCTGTGCAATATTGAGTAGCATTTTAGAAGGTGAGATTATTTTCTTACATTTGTTCAATTAATAGCACTTCATTTTTGAAGCAATTTTCAGTTGTTAATAAAAATACTCCCATTTGGTATTTTCCCCACCTAAGTTACACAATTAATGAGGCTACTCTTCTGTGTGCTCAATGTAAGTGCCTCTCACTCTGCAAGCCCACTGGTGAGTCTCTTTTGCTTTTCTTGGGCAGACATTCTGTGTTATTCCTTGGTAATTTCAGAATTAATGTTCTAGAGAGCCAAAGAAGAATTGACGAGGGATCTTGGAAACAAGTCTGTTTGGTAGCAAAGAAAGGTTTTCTTTCTGTTCTTTACTTATTTCTCCTAATTTTAAAAGAAAAAAGAAACCCTTCTTACTCTGACCTTGTTTTTCTACTCTTTTTCATTTTAGTGTTCTGTGGAGGGGGCGAGAACTTTCTTTGTGCCAGTGGAATCTGCATCCCCAGGAAACTGCAGTGTAACGGCTATAATGACTGCGACGACTGGAGCGATGAGGCTCATTGCAGTATGTGACAGGCCATTCGGGCCGTCTGGGGGGCCAGGGATTCCATCCAGAAGCCTAGAAACCAAGGCCATTCCATTGTCAAATCCTGACGACCATCTGCACTCCTGAAGCCTAATTTTAGTTTGCTTTTCTAAAGGGGGCAGAAGTATTTATCTTCCTCCCATGTGACAGCACTGTGTTTACACACCTTTCAAAGGCATAATTTCACTGGGAACTCAAGAGCTAGATGCCGCAGTGCAACAGATCAGGGATTGGGGTGTTTTGCATCAAGTGTCTTAAAATTGGGAGAAGACATTTTATTTTGTTTGGGCGAGTATTTTTGTTTTTGTTTTTAAAGCTTTATGAGCATAAAGGTCAACTTTTGAAGAAAGGGCATTCTTAATAGGAAAAATTTACACCCTCATGATTCTTAACATTCATGACACAATAGATGCAAAGCCTCTTCTTTATGCTTCCTCTCAAGCTGGAGCTCATTGGAGTCATTAACTTTTAAATCCATGGATTGGTAGATTCAGCTGAAAACACGCTCAGTTTACTTACGATTGATTTAATTAGTTATTTTGACTGATATGGTCAGTGGTTTGTCCTATATTGTGTTAGTCTGCTTGGGCTGCCATAAAAAATACCGAAGACTGCATGGCTGCAAAATCACAGGCTGAGAAGTCCAAGATCAACATCTGACAGGGTTCAAGTCTTCCTGGCTTGTGGGCAGATGCCTGCCACCTCCCTGAGTACTCCTGTGACCCCTTTGGAGGGAGTGGAGGAGAGAGGGGGAGAGAGAAAGAGAGAAGGAGAGGGCTCTGTATCCTCTTATAAGGGTACCAACCTTATTGGATTAGGGCCCCACACTTATGACCTCATTTAACCTTTACCACCTCCCCACAGGCCCTATCTCCAAATATACTCATGTTGGGCATTAGTGCTTCAACAAATGAATTTTGGGTGGTCACAAACGTTCTCCCCATAACAAATATATATTCCTATTTCAAGTTGTTTTTCACTTAAGCAACAGGAGAAAAAGGAAAAGTTAGCCTCAGGAATACATTGCAACGTCTGCATCAAAAACAGAATGAGATGTGCTTGTGTTCTCATTGCTTTTTTATGGAATATGACTAGAAGTAGTTACAATGGGAAAAGCTGTGTTTTACTCCCTGTAGGAGTTGCCAAGGCTTTATAAGAGCTCACAATTGTTGACCTCAGTTGAGAGATTCCTCTGGTCTATTGGCCAGGTAGACCAACTCTTCTTCCATCTGAATGGCAAGGATGCTTATTTGTCATAACTTTTGAAAGGCAGTGTATTATGGTAATGTTTCAGGTCACTGTTTCCCAACTGCTGTTCTGGAGTAACTGAACCTTGAAAAATGCTTGAAAAAAGAAAAATTTGGGAGATGCTCTCAGATCAACCGTTAGAGCTTACAATACACCCAGGCCCTGAGAAATCCTGTAGTTAAAAACAGTAATTAATTTTGTTTAACTTGGTATTTCCTCAAAATTGTTTCACATATACCCACCTTTGTTTACTTAGTCATTCATGCACTTATTTATTTTGTATAATCTCTAGCATACTGTGGAACTTCACTTATCTCTCTTACATTTTTAGAAATGTTTAACTAAGATATTTATTTTTACAATTTGGAATTCTCTCTTCAGAGGAAGCCCATAACACATGATTTTACATGAAAAATACTTTTGTAGGATATATATTTACATTAGGGAGTAGTGCTGTGGACTTAGAAGAAAATATTATGCAAAGCACCCTCTGTAGGGATATAAAATTGTTTGATAGAATTACATGCAATTTATGGGGATTGTGGTGGAGTCTCTTGTTGATCTCCCAATTATAGCCCATGTTCTGGTATTATTCGAATTCTACCTGTGCCTCCACTGCCAGTGGTGGGCCAGCACTGGCTTCATCATTACATTCTTCTGTTGCGCTGAACATTGCACTTTAAACAGTAAAAGCTTTATGTTGCATTGGTTGGAATTGACTTTGAAAGAGTAAATTATCCTAGGCAATGACTGACAGAGAAGGTATTACAACTCTGTCATGTTTTTATTAAGGTCCTAGGAGCTGAAGACTTTATTAAGGAAGGTATGGGCTTTCTTCATGAACACATTTCAAAATGCATTGGTTTGGTCTACTGTGGAAACATCCCTTCAGAATACTTGTCTATGAAAACGCTTAGCAAGACATTGAAAGCTTGGTTTATGACCTTAGAGGTCAATTGTTTATGACGTTATAAGGACATCTACCTCTGAGCTCTAACATGTAGTGTGTGCAGCATTTCAGCATGTTTATAGAAGGAGCCACCCTCCTGCGGTCACCCTGCAGTGAGGACCAGTGTGAGTCTGCATGAGGGCGTGGATGCAGATGAGTGTGAATGCAGCCCTCAGATACTCCTGAGGCGAGGTTTTGCTGGGCGTCCCAAGGAGGAGTGGAAGGTCATGCTGGGTCACCAGGGTTCTGGCAGGTACAGGAGGAGGAAGACGGCTTTCAGAGGAAGGAAGGGAAGGGATTTATTATTTGTGAGTTTCCTAATCAACTGTGCCAGAAGCATTTACCTGCATGATTTGATTTAATTTTCAGTAAAGGAGGTATTTTTCCCTTTTTATACAGATGCAGGGGCTTAGGACAATGAATGAATTTGCCAGTGGTGCAAAGTGCTAGATTTTAACCTAATCTTGAACATGTCTAAATCCAATGCTGTTTTTTCTGCACAGTGCTGCCTTGATTTACTCTTGTCAATAAAAGTTCAGATTTGGTGACTGATTACGTTCTGATCATTCATATGATAGGAAAATTTTATTTTGGATGCTTTACTCTGCTTTGTTTGGGAGATAAGCTTGTCTATTACAGCAACATTCCAGGCATCTGGAACTGTTTGCTGACTTTCTCCCCTGATTTTGTCATGTTTTCAGTTTCCTCCTTGGTATTTGTAGAATGAGCAGATTTCTAACCACCACAGATTAGTGGTGTAAGTGAAAGATTTTTGAAAATTAAGAAATGTTTTCTTTTAAAAATATCTAGCTCTGTGACTTTAGGCAGGCTATTCTCTATCCCTGGTTTTCCTTGTGATCAAGACTAGATGCACAGTAGCATCCCCAGGAGGCCCCACCTGCAGGAATTCTGATTAAGTTGATCTGGAGGTGGGGGTCCAAGTAGCATTACTTTTGAAAAACTTCCCAGGGGATTCTAATTTGCAGCTGGGTTTGAAACCACTGGACAGAGGGTGTCTGGTATCTCTTTTGTTGCTAGCCATTCCATAACCTTTTGATTCTATAACCAGCTATAGAACAATGTCTGGTACATACCAGGTGCTTAGCAAATAAAAAGCAAAGAAAGCCTTGGGGAAAATGGTTGTCACAAGGCAAATAGTCCATACAGCACTCACACCGCAGTCCACACACTTTATGTGGCATAAAAGCACTGTCAAATACTTTTGGAAATCATTTGCTCGGTATTTGGGGTAAAATTGGTTGCTTATTTCTGAGGACTGAGGTTAACATAATTATACTGAATTAACTAATCATACCAACTAATATAATCAATTATACTAGTCATCACACAGTGTAGTGATTAATAATAAAAGCTCTTGAGGCAGGCTGCCTGGGTTCCTATCTCTACCATTTTACATTAGGCAAGGTACTCAATCTCTCTGGGCCCTGGTGTCTTTGTCACTATAAAGGAAATAATGAGAGTAACTGTCTCTACAATTGTTGTGCAGCATCATGAATCGCTGGATATAGAGCACACAGCCCAGTGTCTGGCATGCAGTAGTTCTTGAAGAGTGGTAGGATATATGCTGTCATCTTTTTCACTGCACCTTCCCTCCCCTCCGGCCTCTCCTCCGTCCTGCGCCTCTCACATCCAGGGTTTGGAAGAAGCCACTGGAAGTCATGGAGACAGTGATAAAGGACAGCTGATACGTTGTACAGGTGGTGGAAACACTGATGTGCACAATTTTAAAATCAGCACTATGTGAAGCTGTTTTAGAAAGGAGACAACCCAAACTGCACCACGTAAACACTGGTGTTCCAAATGATGTTCCGAGTCATCAAAAATGATGGCATTTACTATATTCTTTGTACTAAGACAAGGAAACAAGTAAATACCAGAAATATTTCCATCAAAATAATAGAAAGATATTTTATTCTACACCAGAGGAATAAGCTTCAGATGTTTGGAAGTTAACTTCTGCTTGGTAGCAGTCTGATTATACTGAATCAATCAAATTATTGAATATTCTTGAATTCCTGCTGTGTATCAAGCATATTCTAGGTACCTAGTAAATAAAAAGACTGTGAAGATGTGGTTTCTTTCTTCTTGAGGCTGTTAGTCTAATCAGGGAGTAACAGAGAGACGTCACTGGATGGGGTATTTTAGAACCACATGACAGAGGGGAGGTCACAGAGCAAAAGGAGATTGGTGTAAACACAAGGTAGGGATGGTAGGTCCTCTGTTCTTGTCACAGGGAAGAGGGCAGGGTCACAAGGAGTTGGGCTAGTGTAGAGGGAGCTGGTGGGAAGGATGGGATTGAAGCCAGGCCTTGGACTGAGGTGATGTTTGTATGCTCTAGAACAGTAATTCTCAACTGAGGGCAGTTTTGTCCCTGAGGAGACATTTTGCAATGTATGGAGACATATTTGATTGTCACAGCTGTGAAAGTTGGAGGGGGTGCCACTGGCATTTAGTGGGGAGAGGCCAGGGATATTTCTAAACATGCTACAGGGCACAGGATAGTTCCCAACAAGAAAGAGTTGCCCTGTGCAAAATGTCAATAATACTGCACTTGAGAAATCCTCCTAGAGCTAGAAGTCAATAGTCAAAAGAACCCAGCAAGTCAAGAAGCCTAGGTAACTATAATGAGCTGGACAACTATGAGCAAACCATGTAACGTCTCTGATCATCTCAAACTGAGGGCATTTATGGGTAGAAATTGAGCAGCTATACTTGAGTGTTGGGTTAAAGCAGCACGATTATGTTTATAGACTTACGGAGCCTGAGCAAAATGAATGAAGCTCTTGATAAAAGGTTTTCTGTTCCTTGGTTTTCTTCTTTAATGATGATTTTGAATGACAAAAATTAAGAGTATGAGATGACAAACTGAAATAAATACACACGAACTTTAGATATAACATTTTGTAGCAAGCTCTCATTAAGAAAAAAAGATCTTTATCTAGAAAAACTCTACCATTGGTTATGCAAAATTATGCCTGAATTGAGCAAGAAAGCAGCTACTGAAAATTTTGATTTGTTGGCTCTAAGTTGCACTGACAACACCTCTTTTCAGTTCAAATAAACATTTATTTCAGTAAAAGGAGGCACTGTGATCTTTCTTATTTGCTATGTATTCTCAGCTGCACAGTGCTTCTGGTTAAGGTTTTGTGTTTACTAATCACATAGACCTTAGCGATGTAACAAGCTGTTTTCCAAATCCAGCTAATTTTGGATCTCACCTCTGAAAATGGCTTCTAACCAAGAAAGTTATAACAGTGGAAAGTTAAATCTGCACCTGTGTGAATAATGAGGAATTTTGTTTTTATAATGCTTGAGTCATCTCCATTTATGAAATAATAAATGACAGTGTTAATTTTTAAAATATCCCCAATGATATTTTAGTATGAATTTCTGGGGATCCCAGAATGGGCCTCACACAGGGAACACATGAATCTATGGAAATTTTTGGTGTGTTCTCAGGTTAATCGGATTCTGAAAGGTGTATTTGATTCCCTAGGCCTACCATCAAAAAAAGTGAAACATACTGCTTAAAAAAGTAAGAAAAAAAAATCAACTCATGCAGTTTAAAATCTGTCACCCCTTCACCCTGCCCCTCTTCAGGGAATGCAAGTACTTTTGCACTGGTGGTCAAGATGAGAATCCTGGTTATTGCTGATTCTAACATACTGATTCAAAACTTTCCACAGGAGTAATTTCGATTAAAACCAAACAAAGCAAAAAAGAAAACTTTTTAAACTTCCCAAGAAAATGTATATATCCTGATGCACAAATCCCTCAACTTCACTCAGTGGGCAGAAAAACCAGTCATAACCTTTCTTGATATTCCCCCTACTTGACTCAGCTAACAGGAGAGGTAGACCGACACAGTCGGGTGCAGAGTGGGTATGGAGCGCCCCCTGGTGAATGGGAGGAAACAGTACTGCCATGACCATGAATGTTGGTTTCTACAGATCCCTGATTCAGCCAATACACCAAGAAACAGAGTGTGGAGTAGAGAAAGAATTTTATTCAACAAGCTGGTAGGTTGGAAGATGAGAGGACTATTGTCCAAAAGGCCCATTCTTAATGCAAGGTTGATTTCAAGCTCCTTTTATGCTAGAGAAAGAGGGATTAGGAGGGGGATCAGGAGGTGACAGATCTGCTGACCTCTGGACATCAGCGAGGATCTGAGGAGGGTCATGAAACTGTCTGTCCTTGGTCAGTTGACTCCCGCCATACAAGTCTGGTCACAACATTACATTCCTACAAATTCTTGATAGGACAGTTACTGTTTTATCTTTCAAGTTATAAGCAAAATTGTTAGCAAACATATGTGCAGAGATGCAGTTATTTTTGCCAATCTGAAAGGGAGAGTTGATTAAAGGTCTTGTTGTGACTTTGAGTTCCTCTCCTTGGTTTGTTGGGACTATTTCCATTTCCAAACTCCAGGAACAAAGCAGACAATGTTGCCCTTTCCATATGGTTATCTTTCCCTTGCTCCTAGGGGGCCACAGACCCTTTTTAGTTCTTAACTAGTTTAGTTACACTTTCCCTTGGGATGGTTGTCCTCTTATGAAAATTATTCAGCCTGGGGGAAATAAAATAAAAATAAAAAGTATTTGCAAAGTTCTGTATGTATATAAGTGTGAGCACATATGTATGCACATGTCTGTATCTGTGTGTGTACACATATACTCCCTCTTAATGAAGGTGTTGAACAGGTGATCTCTAAGGTCCATTCCATATGATTCTAAAATGATGTGGTTCTAAAAGCATTTAAGTAGCTTCTCTTTAGAAGAATGCTTCTTGAAATGAAAATTTATGATAAAAAAGTATAATATTTTGATATGGGTAGTAATCTAACTGATGAGTGCCCAAGACTTCTGATAATAAATTGTCATAGAGTTTGGGATGTTTATAGTAAAAAGGTACCATCACCAGTTGTGTGAGTTCTCCTCAGTTCTGCCTGAGGAGAAACAATCAGCTGGGATTCAGGACTGGACTATGGACCACTGGATTCTTGGTCTTCACCAGCCAAGTAGGCTGATCCTCAAATGTGCCCCCATTTCTCCCTCTTTCCTTTATTCCTGCTATTCCCTCTGCTTGAAACATGCTGAAACTTTCATTCCATCCAGTGTACTGAAATTCTGCCCATCTTCCATGATCTTTCTCCAGTCTTAAGAATCTATTTTTGAACTTAATTCACTTTAAATAAGGAAAAAATAATTCATTTATAAGTCTAGTTTCTACTAAATTCAAGGTCCTTTACATTTATTAATTTTAGACAGTTTCATAGCTTTTTGGAGGTATAATTTACATACCATAAAATTGGCCCATTGGCTTTTAGTAAATTTATGAGTTGTGTAACCATTACCACAATCCACTTTTAAAACTTTTTCATCTCCCGACAAATTTCCCTCTCACCCCTTTGCAGTCAGTGCCTCCTCCCACCTCTCCAGCTACATATGGGAGTTTCCGTTTCTCAGAATCCTTACCAATACTGGGTATTGTCTATTTTTTATAGCTTTATCAAGGGATATGTAATTATATCTTATTGTGGTCTTAATTTGCATTTCCCTAATAGCTAATTATATTGAACATCTTTTCATATCTTTTGTATATCTTTCATGCAGACTTTTGTCATTTGTATCTTTCATCTAGACTTTCTGTTCAAAACTTTTGCCCGTTTGTAATTTGGTTGTTTGCCTTATTAGGTGTAAGAGTTCTTTATATATTCTGGATATAAGTCCTTTATTAGGTACATGTTTACAAATATTTTTTTCCAGTATGTGCTTTTTCTTTTCATTTTCATAATAGCATCTTTTGAAGCAGAAATTTTTTTAACTTTAATGAAGTCCATTTATTACATTTTTCTTTTATGGCTTGTGCTTTTGTTTTTATATTGAAGAATTTCTTGCCACACAGGACATGAAGATTTTTTCCCTGTGTTTTCTTCTAAAAGCTTCATAATTTTAGCTCTTACATTCAAACCTATGATCCATTTTCAGATGATTTTTGTGTTTGAGGTAAAGGTCAGAGTTCAGTCTTGCACATTTGAAATCCAATTATCCCAACACAATTTGTTGAAGAGTATTTTTTTTCTATTGTCTTGGCATCTTACACATCCCAATAGTAAGAGATTATTTTATTAATTTCTTTCCCAGAACCCTATTAAGCAAGTAATCTTATCTTACTTCCATAAATCAGTTCACGGACTCATAGATTTTAATTAATACACTCAAATTCCCACAGTTTGTAGGTGGCAAAACCACGATAGGAGTTCTGGTTCATGTAAGCACAAGATCTATTTTCTTATTAAAATTTCTTTGCATATTATTTATTACAACATGAATCTATAAGCTTCCTGAAGTAATATGTCACTTATTCATATCTTTCCATAATCTAGAACAGTCCTGCTCATTTGAGGGTCATGTTATGAAACACTCAATTGACTTAAATTATAACATTTGGGTGAAAGTAAGAAAAAACTATAATCTAAATGACTTTTTCTCTCCATTATGATTACATTTACCATTGACAAAACTAGACTTTCATTTTAAAGGAACGATTTTTAGGAAATAACTACCACCCTCTATTAAAGTCATTCATTTTGTATGAACATGAGCTTCATTAGGAACTATGGTGAGTTGAGAATATCTTTTCTCATATTTGAGTATAAAGGAGCTTTCATGTGATATAAATTAGAACTCAGATAAAGATTTTCAGAAAGCAGTAAAAAAAACCCCACTGGTTTAGGAACCAGAAAGCCCTAGTACTGGCTCTGGTTCAAATAACTTGTTATGTGATCTTGAGCAGGTCTTTGGCTCTCTCTATGCCACAGTCTCCTCCCCTGTGAAACGCTGGATGTAGGCCAGGTTATCACTGTGGTTCCCTTCCTGTGATATGTTTTTTTAGACTTTCATTTTAAAGGAACGATTTTTAGGAAATAACTACCACCCTCTATTAAAGTCATTCATTTTGTATGAACATGAGCTTCATTAGGAACTATGGTGAGTTGAGAATATCTTTTCTCATATTTGAGTATAAAGGAGCTTTCATGTGATATAAATTAGAACTCAGATAAAGATTTTCAGAAAGCAGTAAAAAAAACCCCACTGGTTTAGGAACCAGAAAGCCCTAGTACTGGCTCTGGTTCAAATAACTTGTTATGTGATCTTGAGCAGGTCTTTGGCTCTCTCTATGCCACAGTCTCCTCCCCTGTGAAACGCTGGATGTAGGCCAGGTTATCACTGTGGTTCCCTTCCTGTGATATGTTTTTGTCAATTAAATACTGTGACATCCCGTTCCACTCTGATGGCATGCTGCGGCTTCTCTTATGTGCAGATTGCAGCGAGGACCTGTTCCGCTGCCACACGGGCAGGTGCCTTCACAACAGCCTTGTATGTGATGGGTACGACGACTGCGGGGACCTGAGTGATGAGCGGGACTGTGGTGAGTGGCTTCCTTTCCCTAGAGGCTTTCATTTAAAATTATGGACGTTTATAATCATGAACTTATAGCTCATGGTTTGCTAATGCAATTAACAGGTTAAATTACAAAACAGTTTCTTAGTTGTTAGAAAGAGGAGTTTTTCTCAATTACTTGTCTCAGTCATGTCTTATGTGCAGATGTCATATTTCTCCCACAAAGTCATGTTAAGGAAATGCAAGAGAAATGAAGTGAAAAGGTGGGTAATTGTCATCAATAAGGGCATTTTTCCTCTCCTTGAAAATGTTCTGTTTTTTCCTCTGGTTGGAGCCAGTAGTTCATGTTTAGATTTTGAACCCTTGAGCAGAACTTTACAGATGGATGTATTGTCTGTGTCTGATCTCATTATATGTAACCAATATAATATTTATGTTTACTTGATTGCCAAGCACTAAGGGACAACTTGTGCAGTAGTGACATTTAGGGTGAGGATGGCACATTTGTTTTAGGGACAAAAGCTGATCTTATTTTAAAGAATGAACCTACCTACTAGTTGTAAGTCTGTACCTGTAAACAGCATCTTCCTAATTCCCATCCCTGGTAACCACCATTCTAGTCTCTGTTTTTAAAATTCAGCTTTTCAGATTCCACATATAAGTGGTATCTCATAGTACTTATCTTTCTCTTTCTGATTTATAACACTTAGCATAAACTGACACAATGTTGTATGTCAGTCATCTCAGTAAGAGAAAAATGAACCCAACTTTTAAAGAACTGTGTTCAATTCTGAATGTCATCTCATAAATTAAAACCAGCAAACTCCCTCTTGCTTATTTACCTTTTTCTTTGTGATTAGCTTTAGAATTTCTAGGTAGTATATTATTGAGAGACACGAAACCTTTGTAATGTGAACAAAGAGGCAAATTGCGATGAGGAGGGACACTAGGCAAGTGAAGTGAAACAACATTTGACATCAGAGAATACCAAAAGGAATGTTGGAGAAGGACAAGGAGTCTGGTCAGAGGAATGTGCCTCGGAGTGGTGAGCATCAGAAATGGCCCCATGCTGGAAAACTAGGTAGTTTCTAGAAGCACCTGTCTAGCTGCCCCTCATTTTATCTTTTAAAATATAGGAAAACCTGTATTTATACAAACCATCTAATGATTTACTACACGGATATGGATTCTCTTCTGGGACTTACTAGGTTTTGGACAAAGACTGAGAAGCAATTGTAATTGTGTGTATCATAGAGTTTACAGTCGGGACAGGCCTTAGAGATCATCTACTCCAACCCTACTTTTACCCAGGAGGTAACTGGAGAATGGAGAAGACAAGCAGGGAGCGGGGCTTGTGTATGATTTGGTAGTTGGATAGGTCAGTGTAGAGGGCCAGGGTTTAGTTGGTGTGTAAAAAAGAATAGTCTTATCACTCAATATAATTCCTCTGAAGATAGTAGGATATCATGAAGTTTGTGCCATAGGGTGACCTTGCCCCTATCTAGTGGTAATGATTGCAGCGTTCCCTTAGACCAGTCTCTGCCCCAGCTGCCTGTCTTTAGCAGACTAGGAATGTGGTGGTTCTTCTGGTTTCTGCCCAAGCATCCCATCTCTTGGATCTTTCTTCCTTTCTTCACACTATGGCTTCCACATACTTTACTTCATTGCTCCAGTACCCCCTTTAAGGCCCATGACCCCTCTACGAGTCTACCAGCGACAGTGGCGCTGTTAGTGGTAACCCATGAGGGCTCCTCATTATTGAATCTTTTGTTCATGACTCCACATGTATCTTTAAAAGGATTGTTTATATTAAGGTATTACACATCTCATGGCAAAGAATCCTATAGGTTCTGCCTTCTGTGAAAAGAAACATCACTTAGTTCTCTTTTTTCCCCAGGAATGTATAGTTTGGGACAGATGTTAAATCCAGGCTAAAAAGAATCATTAAAAAAATATACATATTTTGCACTTATTACCCAGTGGTTTCTAATATGAGTTATGTATCAAGATAGTTTAATAGAAAACCTAAGCTTACCATCAGGGAAGATGGTGGGAGGAGATACTCGCCTTCCTAATTTACCGCAGAGAGGTTAGTTACAATTCTTAGAAAACATGGTAGAGTTACATATCATCAAATCAGTTGTCTACAGTGTGATACCCAAACCACAGTTCTTTTTACTTGAGGCAGTATAAAAATTTTCATAAGGGAAGCAAAAACAATTAAACAAAACAAAAAACAAGAACAAACTGTGGGTCCTGAGAAGGCCGGACAATTGTTATTCAACTGAAAAACAAACAGGTCTTACCTCCCAGGGATGGAAGCCAGTGGGGGATGACATTTTAGTTGTGGGACACTTAGATGGGAGGGGACGTTGTGACTGTGCCAGACCCATCACAGAGGAGTCGCCGAAGGTACTGGAGCAACTGGAACAGACTGTCTTCAACTGAACTGTGAGCCAAATCGTTCTGAGTGTTCATCATGCTGGTTCTCTCCATCCGCCCGAGTCTTCATTTTCCCCAGATTGCGATCCCGCAAAGGAGCACCGCTGCGGCGACGGGCGCTGCATTGCCAAGGAGTGGGTGTGTGACGGCGACCACGACTGTGGCGACAGGTCCGACGAGGTCAATTGCTGTGAGTGCCCCGTGCATTTTCATTTTGCTTATTTTTCCATTTTTGTCTGTTTAGATAAATATACTCAAGGTTCACTATCTAAACAACATTCCAAGAGAAAATTCATATTCTTGGGTTCTATCCTATAAAGATGGCTATGAGAGTAACAATAGTGTAGACCATCCGACTTCCACATCTCTTTTCCCAAAGCTCCAAGCTTCATTCGGCCGCTCTGCCCAAGCAGGTGTCTGTTTTCTGTCGTTGTCCACCCGTCTCCTTTCTGCATCTGTGGTTTTGTCGAGGGGATGTTCCTCCTGGAGAGTTTTCTTCTGCAGACAATATGTGAGCAGTTGAGTTTCCCTGTAGGAGCCCACAAGTGTGTTCTCAGGCACTATTTGTGGGAGAGGGTGGAGAGAATTGCCAGACAGCAGAGAGCCTTCAGTGCTCCTAGAGTCACACAGAATATGATGGTGATTGTGACTTCAGTCTGCTGTGTTTCTGGGCCAGCAAGCAGTCTTCAGGTGGGTGTTCCCTACTTAGCTAATACAGTCAAGTATGAATACTTTTCTGTTTTTTATTTCCCTAGAAACTATACCCTATTCAGTAGGGAACAATAGAATGATTGAATAAAAATAACTAAGTATTAAAAGAGAAATAATATGGACCTGAAAGAGTTAATATGATACATTTTATCCATGTTCAAACTGATTAAACTTTTTAGTCCATTTTTTGCTGCCTACTGAAAGTAGAAAAAGTTGCTACATATGAGACTGGATATTTAATTTGCATATAGCTCCAGGGAAACATATAAATGTGGGTTGTGTGGTTTTTATTTTGACGTAAGAAAACTCATAGAAATTGATTAACAAATGCAATGCCTACTCTTCCTCTTCCCTGAATCGTATTTTGACTGGCATAGCACCTGAGCCCTTGCTTAGTGGACACAGTGGAACAGAGTGGACTGTGTCTTGATGGATCTTTAGAAAGCAAAGACATGGTGCTTAAGTAATGATTCTGTGTTGAGTCTTGGTTCAAGAATAGGGAATTTTAATATTAGTTACTCAGTGATGGCTGAGGTCACAGATACATAGGTTTCTGATCATTTAGAAGACAATAGGGATAGAATTTAACAACATTTAGGAACTGGAAGGTTAATAATCACTAGACCATACCTTTCAAATGTCAGATGTCATAAGCAAGTTTTGAAATAAAGAGCTTATTGTGTGTTAGGTACCATACAAGTCCTTTTACATATGTTATTTCTTCGGCCTATGAGGTCAGGTCAGAGTGAGAAGTTAGGGCTTAGAGTCAGCGAAGCTTGGCCTCACAGTCTGGTCCTACCTTTTAACAGCTTTGTGACTTTGGGACAAACCTAAGCCTCAGTTTCCTTATTCTAAACAAAGTTGCATGTTTGTTATGAAGATTGGAGAGTAGATACATAATACTCCCAGCACCATTCCTGCCATATAGCAAGCCTTCAGTAAAGTATAGCTTTTATATGTATAGTTGTATATACATGTATAGTTATACATATATATAAAACTATTACCAAAATTAGTACTGTTTCTTACATTTCAGTTATCAAGGAAAAGTGAATTTCTAGTAACTCCTATTCAAAAGAGGTCTCATCATCTGTGAAACTCAAACAGAAAAAATTAAGAGAACTCCATGGAAAAAAAATTAATAATATGTTCATTCATTTATGCAGAACATTCAGATATTCACAGCAGCTTATTTCTGGGCAATGCCAGATAAATAGGAGTCATTACTATTATGATCTGTAGACTGAAAGAAGTACAGATAAATACAGTGAATGCTATATTGGCGTCTCCTAGCCTGTCACAGCCAGGGCCTGGTGGAATGCAGAAGCGGACAGTGTATCCCCAGCGTGTTCCAGTGTGATGGTGACGTGGACTGTAAGGACGGGAGTGACGAGGAGCATTGCAGTGACAGTAAGTGGCATTATAGCCCCTGACACAATCCTTATCAGCTGGTCTTTCTGGGGAACAAAGTAAAAAGCTGGAGGTTACCAATAATATTTCATGCCAACTATACTTCAGTAAGAGAAAAAAAGTTGAAAGTCACCTAATGCTTAAATAGGATTCCCACATAAATCGGTCCAGATTGCCTGATGTGGTGGGCCTCACGCCCTGGTCAGCCAGAAAACCCTTTCTTGTGGTAAATGTAATTCTCATGCCACTTATACTGAAAAATCATTCCTAAGGGTGAAGAATATGGATTAAATGCTTAGATAGCATGTGCAGATTTGGTTAACTGTTTTATGGGGAAAGGCAATACCATGATAAAGAGAAAAGTTTAGTACGTAGTATTTGATTAAATTAGATTAGATTCCCATGAGAAAAAATAGGCTTCTGAAATTAAATGTGACAGCTTCCTAAAATAACCATGTTCAGAGAGTCAGTTTAATACCTCACATTACCAAGCAATATACTTAAATACACTCTAATATCATCTATGAAACTCAAACAGAAAAAATTAAGTAAGGTGGTTTTTAATATGTGTCTCTTTCTGTCAGAAAAAAAGGTTCCATAATGATTGCTTTAAGCTCTAGTTTGTATAGAAGCATCTCTCAGTACAGGGTTGGTAAGATCCCTTGACTTAAAAATCATTACATTTGTTTGTAAGTGACCTTGCCATTTACCAGCATACCCTAGCAATTAAGAATATGGTTGCAGCCCAGCTGTTTGGGTTCAAGCCCCAGTGCTGTTACCTACTCTCTAGTTAGGCCAATAACTTAACCATGTCATGTCTCAGTTTCTTGTGTTCCGTAAACTCAGAATAGTAAATACTTCATAGAGTTGACACATGATGAGCCCTCAATGTTGGCTATTATTACATGGCTGTTATGTTAAAGCATGTTTTGGGCTCTGAATATCACAAGTCAGCTATGAGATTGGTTACCTAAATTAGTTTTGTCATAATGAATATTGATCCTTAGAATAGCCTTGAAAAAGCATTCCAGACCTAAAGAGAGAAGATTTATTACATAAAAAAATTAGAAAAGGAGTGCTTCATATGACCAGTTTTAAAAGTCAGAAGGAAATCTTTTTCTGGCCATGAGCTACTGCATGCCTGTCAGCCAAGAGCCTCCCTTTGGATCACATTGTTTTTTTCTTTCTACATAATTAAACTGTGTTTGAGATAATTTTGGGGTCTTCACTATGCAATGGTGGGATTTGTAAATTATTTTCTTACATATGTGAGATGTAAGAAAGTCATATGAAAAATGGATCAGAATGTAAAATTTTAACATCTTCATATTATTTACTCTAATGAATTCAACTTACTGAATGTATATTGTGGTGTTAATAAGTGGCCAACCACTGGGAATTTAGTGCCAAGCCAAAAGCTCATGGAACTTGTTGTCTTCTAGGGGAGATAGGCATGCTACACATAATTATGCAAATCAGCATCTAACCATGGAGTGATAGAGGCCCTGAGGGAAAATTCAGGGTGCCAGGATGCCATATACAGGGTGCTTGCCCTGGTAAAGGGCCTCAGGGAAGCTTCCCTAAGGAACAGATGTTGGATCTGAGAGCTGAATGAGTGGAGTTAACCAAAGAGAGTGGGACTGGGGGAAGCTTTTCAAACACAGGGAACCACTTGGCCAAAGGTCCCCAGGAGGGAAGGAGCCAAGCAGGTTAGGGAGATAGATTGTGAATGGGGATCTGGGAGACAGGAGGGTGCTTATGCAGATAACTGTCACCAGAGATCCCAGGTTGGTTCTGCTAGGGAGGCTGGGGAGGGAAGGAGGGACCACTTCTCCCAGATTTTTGGCCCCAATAAAGATTCAGGCCTTTACCATCCTCTGGCTCTGCTCTCAGCCTTCTTGTCTAATCTCCCAGAAGCACCAGTGACTCCAGTCTGGGTTCTTTCCCACTCCAGGCCTTTGCATATTCCACTGTCTGCTTGGTAAACCCATCTTTCCTTTTTATGCCAACTTACCCCATCTGCCTGAAAAATTCCTGGAGACGCTGTCTCCTTACTGCCCCAGTTTGCCTCCACTGCCCCTTACATGTACCTTCAGTGGAGCAATGGTCTTGCAGCACTGTCTGTTCTATTCATGACCATGTTCCTAATTAAGATAGAAGCTCCTTCACTTCTTTCATCTTTTAATGCTTAATGCCTAGCTTGTCATATAAGCTTATCATGTAGCAGGCACTTAATATCTGCTGAAATAATGAATGCATGTTGTCTTAATAAAATTTCTTTAAGAGCCCAAGCTCATGGAGATTAGCCCAGCCTACCTTATAAAATAGTTGACCTTAGTGACATCTTAAAAAAAAGAGTGCATCTCTTCTCTTCAAGGCTATGATGTATCCTGTTGCACATTAATGGTACCAGAAAGGAGAAAGAGTTCAGTGTAATAAACTCTCTTAAAATTATAGATAAGAATGATTAGATGTTCCACATACTGTTACTTATAATTAAAAATGACTTGCAAGGTTTTCTAGATTTCAGGTGACGTGTCTGAAAATAATTGACTATAATGGGGGAAAGCTAGGAAGGGAATGGGCAGCAATTTATTTACCTTGTCCATTTAACCTGCAAATGACCAGGAAATCAATGGGAAAAGCAGTGTCCTTTCTATGTACCTTAAGGAAAAGCCATTAGACTGGCATTACTGCTGTCATTCATTTGGAAATAAGAAACCCAATTCTCAGGCCATCACAGCTAGGCCAATGACGCTGTCCAAGGACATGAAGAAAATATGGATAACAGCTGCATAAGACTTGTACCGTGATGAAGTATCCTTATTATATTGGCATTGATGCCCTATTTATTATTAGAGAAATCATTTTCCTTAAAGGGAAGACTAGAGCTAGGAGCAAATGAGAGCTTAAAATAATAACATTTATTATTCAAAATTTTGAGATTTTTATGTTGGTTTCTTCCTTTAATCACTTGAATTGTATTTTTTAAATCAGGTATATGTACCCATGTAAATATAAATCACTGTCTTTTTTTTTCTTTAAAAGCAGTGACAACCTGTTTTTTTAGGGTAGGTTGCCTCCTATTTCTTTATTCCTACAGAATCCTTTTAGAATAACTGGTTGTATTCAGTTGCCAGGAATATTAATCCATAAAATACCTATTCAACATGTGTTCAATGTTTTTGGAGAAACTGGAAGGAAATTAAAGTTGTGTCATCTTCAGCTCCACCAGACGTTCTTGATCCTTTCAATCCTCGTGTAAGGAATTTACAGATGATAAAAGTGAATATGCCTTCCCCCCTCTATAGGTCAGACTCCATGTCAAGAAAACGACCCAAGGTGCCTCTCCAGTTCCTGCCTTGATTCATGTGGTGGCAGCTCTCTTTGTGACCTGAACAACAGCCTGAATAACTGTAGTAAGTACAGCTGCTGACAAATGCAGTCTCTGTGTCAGGACATGCATTCAGCTTTTTTCTTTGAATTGACATTAAAATGTTGAAGTCTGGAATCCCTCCAAAAATATCAATTTTTCTTTTTCTTTTTTAAAGGTTTCATGTGGTAGCAGAAAAAAAACAAAATGGTCTTAATTAACTTAAATCAGAAACAAATGTGTCATTGTGACTAGGATATAAATCCACATTGCTTAATATCATTACCATTACTTTCAACTCAACATCGGCTCCTATACATTATTTTCTTGGCTCCAACTGCAGGCAGATGTTATCTTTCTTCCTTTTTAAAGCCCAGCTTCAAAAATGGGAGCTTTACTCAAGAAGCACATATGCAGTTCACCTAAACAGCCACCTAAAACTTTGGCGGTTTGTTCTTTTAGTAAAATTTACTCTCACCTTTCTAGGAGCCTCACCAACCTATAGTGATCTTGCAGACATTGTATAAACTGCTGTGGTGACAACATAACAGCTCCAAATGTTGCAAAGAGGTGGCTGTCTCTAAATTGGCTTTCAGGAGGAGAAATTATTAGGGGAAGATAGAATGGGTGGGACTAGGAGAGGACTGCGTAGACTCTCAGGGGAAATTTAAAATAAGCAGAAAGGCTCCAGACTCCAATTTCTAATAATGATTTCTTACTCATGGCTCTGCCTTCATATTCCACTCATTTCTTTCACTTTTTAGAATTAATTTTCCATCTCACCTTCAGCATGGAGCTTGAAATTTAGAAGCATGTCTGACAGCTTTCAGTTGTCAGGAAGACATGACTTCTGACAAACATCCTCGCAGTTGAAGGCCTTGGGAGCTGGGAGGGCGAGCGGCTACCGGGTTTGGGTCCTTGGGTTTGCTGCAGTTTGCGGTTCTCATTTTACTCAGTGACCTTTCTGGCTCAATGCAGGGCTTATAGGGGCTGCCTCTGTAACTACCAGGGAGCCTCAGGGGGTGAAAACACTGGGCAGGGAAGGAGTGCGAGGGGGGCGGCCAGTTAAAAACCCAGACTGACAGGAGTTTTTGTGTATTTTCATGAGCACTTAACTGTTTGGCTCAGAGCACAATCCCTAGCCCTCCTCCATTTCCCATAGGAGCCGACTCTTCAGTAGGTTAGTCTGACCATTAAGGCGCCCTGCCATTTTACTCTTTCTAAACTGATTTAAATATATACATATATATGTATGTATGTGTACATATGTGTGCATGGTGGGTACAGGTGTATAACTTATATGTATACATTCTGGGCCTATTGTTTCACTTTGCTTGCCTCCCAATCTGCTCTGGAACTTTTTCAAATTTATTTTTTTACTTCACCTTGAACTTGGGATGAGTAATTTTGAACAATGACAATGTCATCTCAAAGACCCATGCTTATTATTAAAGTTTTGGGGGCTGTCTAACACGGAGGGGCACTTCCTGTTAGATTTGAGAAGTTGAAAGGGCAGTGCTAGCCTGTGTCAGATTTGGATGGAGAGCAACTAGGTGTATGTTCTGCCAATTTCACCATATTTGACATATCTGAAAATTTTAAAAATATGTTATCACTGTCAAAAAAGAAGTTGTAGGAAGGGCACTAGGTAACTATTGATTAGACATACAGCCAACATTTGTAGTATGTGTATGACATCCCAGGCTCTGCAATGGGCCCAGGGCACCGTAATGGCAAACAAGGGAGACGTGATTCCCGCCTTCCTGGAGATGACTTTTCATCGTGGGAGAACATGCTGACACCCCCCCACTCATATATACTACAGTAATTTTCTCTTCAGTTCTTTACATACACTCAGACGGTTTCCCTAGCATTTCACTGTTTCATCAGCTTCCTCATTCACCGTAAATGTTCTTAATCTTTATGTTCTTCTTCTCTTCATATGTATTCAGCAGTCATTTGAACATCCCCTCTTCTGAGTCCCCAGCACTGGATGTCATTGGTCCCTCAGTCCTTCTGTATCATTAAAAATAGTGCATATGTCTAACTTCCAATTAAGAATAAGGATGTTATTCTTTACTTTTTGAAGAACTTCAGGATGGTATGTTTGTGTTTGGTTCTCTGTAAAGATGGACAAGGAACATGTCCTCTCAGAAACCTCTTCATGTACTTGAAAATGTGGTTAATTATTTGAAGACCTTTACTACTAGAGAGACTAATATCAGTTAGATTCTGAGGCACAGCTGCATAGCCCTCACTTCCTCTGGCTCCATGCCAGTGGGGAATATGAGTTTGGAAAATGTAGATATTCTGTCTTGTGAAGTTAGCTCTTTGCTGGAGTTGCCGGGATTTTAGTCCCCGAAGACACTGGTTTTTGCCATCCCATAAAATATGAAATCACTTTCTGATGGTCCCTGAGGATATACTGAGTGGGGCCCTGGCATCAGTATTTTTAAAATTCCCAGGTGACTGCATTGTAGCCAAGGCTAAGAACTGTTGCTTTAGTGGCCTGTTCTTGACTAAGCTCCAGAGGGTGTGTGACATCCCTGAATATGGATATGAGCAAGTCTTCACAGTGTTCAAATTCTTCAATGGAGAAAGTCCATGGCTCATCTCGGATTCTCAGAAATGCCTACAATTTTTTTTAAAAGCCCCAAATCCACATCTCTGGTGATGCTTGCACTGACAGGCTTGAAGTGCTGCAGAATCACCGCATCCACTCCCACCCGGAGTCTCTAACGTCTCTGCGCCCTGCTGGGAGGTGAACTGCAGTCAGGTCCTTGCCTTTGGGGGCAGGAGCAGGGAGGTTATTTCCCTTCACCCTCGGGTGGAGGAACTAATCCATTGTTTCCACTCTGGGGTGTGCAGTCCAGACAATAGGGGGGACCTGGATGAAGGAGCAGCTCCTGGGTGTGGGTGTCCCTGCCTCCCTGTGCCTGTTGTCACCACAGCTGTATGAAGCTGGCTACGGCAGGCATGCCCTGGGGACTCTCCCAAATTTCCCACAGTGTTCCACAAACCTTTAGTTCACTGAAGGTACTTTAGTGTTTACTCATGCATTTTTCCTCCATTGCTGAAGAAAACATGAACAGCTTTGTTCTTCACATAATTTCCTGCTGGCCTATGTATTTACAAATGCCCTCTCTTTGCATTCTCTGATTGGAAGAAACATATTGTATAGGGGTGTGGGAAAGAATCCAAATGCCATAATGGTTAAGGACTTCAGTCCTTGGGAGCAAATAGTAGATGAGAGGAATGATCTCTGTCTAAAAGCATTCCCAACTAATAAGTGAAAAATAAATGGGTCAGAATATTACCACTGGGCTACACAGAGAATTAATGGGTCCAGGCATTGAGAATCTACAGCCACTGACATTCACAAAAAGAGAGAAATAAGCTGTGATGTGCCTTCTGACCAAAGCACACCACAGCACCTGTAGTCTTGCCTTAGGGATGAACCCTAGTCATCCCTCTGGATTCAACTGCCAGTATTCAGGAAACAGTGAAGTCAGGAGCCTGTGCATCAACGCACCAGGAGCATGCAATCAGCAGCATCCAAACTTCAGCACGCCCTGTGGGTCAGATTCCCGGGGCCTTGGATAGCTAAACTTAAAGGAAAAATAAAGGGTTGGTGGGGGGAATCCAGATATTTTAAGAGACTTTAAAAAAAATTGCAAGCTTAAACTCTCAAGTTAGGTCACTGTGCACGCTTAGGTAATAAAACTCTTGAATCTAGGGTGCGGTGCACACTTAGTTAATAAAACTATAAAGAAGAGCACAGAAATATAAATTAGTCGTGAGGCTGAAAGTACAGCATAGAGAATATAGTCAATAGTTCTGTAATATCTATGTTGACAGATACTATGCTAGTTGGGGTGAGTATTTAATAATGTATAGAACTGTGTGTGCATGTATGTGTGTGTATATATAGAGACTATGCATAATTATATACTGTAACGTATATATACTAGTTGGGGTGAGCATTTAATATTGTATATAATAATGTAATATATACATTTAGTAATGTATATAAGAGCAAGGAAGTGATAACTACACAACTCAGTAGTTACTTTGTGGGAAAAAGAGAATGTTGATAGAAGACAGTATATATATGGACAGGCATCTGGGATATCTGTCAAACTTTAATTTCTTGACCTGGGTGGTAGTTACAAGGGTCTTCACTTTATAATTAACACATCAAAATATTAGAAGTGATGATAAAGAGAGATTCAGAGTTTTATATATGGACAGGCATCTGGGATATCTGTCAAACTTTAATTTCTTGACCTGGGTGGTAGTTACAAGGGTCTTCACTTTATAATTAACACATCAAAATATTAGAAGTGATGATAAAGAGAGATTCAGAGTTTGAGGCAAAGATGAAACTTGGAATATATATATGGCAGTGGATGCTGAAAGTGACATTTTCTTATGTAAATGATCATCATTTAATGCCTGACTTCTAATGGCTTCAGAGTACTGCATCATGACAAGGATGTAACATTGTTCTGTTAACAATTCTGTCTTTCGGTGTAATTTAACAAGTCTTTCAGACTATGAAAGGTAGGATAGCATTAAGACTTTATCAGCATCAATTTTTTCAACAGATATTTATTAAACTTATCTATGTTCAGGACACTGCTCAGCTCTGCCTCAAACTTGGATTGCAAACAGCCCTGTGGTGTTTAACATCCTCACGTTTGTGACGTGACTGCCCTCTAGTGGCTACCAAAGATCAGGTTAGTGAGCGAATTTAAGAGAAAAGCTTATTGACACCATAAATCACAGAATTTGAAGTTGACAGATATCTTGAGAGTTTATCTTGCTTAGCACTCTGTAAAGAATGCCTTATGAAGGAGCAAGACACAAGATTCAATCAACCTTCCTGCATTCAATAAAGATCTCCAGAATAATGTAGGATCATAACTTAATCCTTTCATCTCCCTTGGCTCTGAAACACTTAAAGGTTATATCTTATCCCAAATCATAAGCAATACAGTCTCTGCATATCAAACAAGAGAAACATTATCCATGTGATATGTCTACTAATCATTTAAATGAAATACCTGATAAAAAGTTAAAATTTGATAGGGTGGTAGAGGAAGAGAGAGAAGCGAAAGGCATATACAAGGGAAAAAGACTGCATCAGGTATCTGTGTGCATCATACCTTTTTTTGGTGCTGCATCTACTGCCTTGTGAGGTGGTCATGAAAAATAATTGAAAAACAGCAAATGGAAGAACAATAGGATAGTATAATTTTCCTTTGGCAGGAGCAAGCAGGTATCTATGTGTGTAAATGCTGGTATGTGTAGATATAAGCCAGCAGAGGGCATGGGAGACTTCAAACGCAGTCTGTTGGCTTTGAGGGTAGGTGACAGAAAAAGAAGTGGGGAGGATGGTGAACTGTTTATGCATCTTTGTCTGGCTTTCGTTATTATGAGGAATGTGCATTCGTTTTGTAATCTGAAATAAAAGTATTGAAATATGACTCCTGTTTCACAAACCAAAGGAAATGATAACTGACCCACCCCATACCATACCCTCCTGTCTCTTTCTCTTTCTCTTCTCTTCACTCTGTACTCACCCCTAAGATAATGCCAACTTTACAGGCTTCGCCTTCCCCAGTAAACTCAGAGTCTCACTACACTTTGTCCACAAGCCCTTTAATCAGACCTCAACATAATTTCTTTGAAGCCCTCAGATTCTTTAAGTTAAGAAGTAGTTCCAGAGCTGTTTTAATATTCACCTCAGTCCTTATTACTAATCTATCTACATGAAGACCACTCCTTGGTCAAATAATTGCACTGAATTTGAATTATTACTCTTAAGAAGGCATGGGCTGGGCTGTTTCTACCAACACACTCACTTGATTACCTCTCTCACCTCTGGGAATGTGGCACATCTGTGAACAGAGAGGGGACAGGGAGCCTTTCTACTGCATTCCCAGAAACCGTTTATCCTGTGGAGGCTTCCCGAGCCACTCTTGCTCCACTTGTCCCTCTGGGCTCCCAGCATGTGTTCATGGTATGTTACAGCTACCAGCACATGTGTCAGTCTTCCAAAGATGATGGTAGAGTGCCTCAATGGCAACAACTATACTTCTCCTTATTTGTATATTTGAAATGTGTGGGCTAGTTCCTGAGACTCCCTCCCACCCGCATCCTTTCTTTTCTTTGTTCTGGCACTGCTACAGGTACTTTGAGATCAAGAAATAAACTCTCATTTCTCAAAAATCTTTGAATAATGTGAAGTAGATAAGAAGACAGCAGAGGGCAATGAGTGTGCTGCAGGAACACGCCTAGGATGCAATGGTGCTCAGCAGATCTCCTCCTGAGAATGAGGAAAGGAGAGTGGCTGGCCAGCAAGGCTTCCTGGAAGGGGTGTTTGTGCTGAGTCCCACAGGGGAAGGAGGAGACAGCTTGGTGAGGAGGATGGGAGAGGATCATTCCAGCAGCGGGTCCTGTTTGCACCCAGCAGCTAGAACCACGACCGCACCTGGGGGCTGATTACAAGTCTGTCAAGGAAAGGAGATAGGAGAGGAGTAGCAGGGCCCACAAAGGCATGAGGCTCTTCAGATATCCGCTGTCATGAAGGAAATGCCAGAGATGAGATAGTCATCGGCAGTGTGGCTGGAAAGTTAGGCTGTGTTCAGAGTGTGATTTAGCTTTGGATGCCAAGTCAAGGCTTGGGATTTTGTCTCATTAGCAATTGGTATTGTAGATCTCAGCCTCCTCTTGCTCTGAAATCTTGTAACCTTATATTTAAATCCATTGATCAACAATAAAACATATAGAAAGAAGTCATCTAGTGTCTCTTTATTGTCTAATTTGCTTTTGTCATAGAATTTGTCATCTAACCACATTCATTGATTCTTTTTTTCTAAATGGCTATGAAGGTGAGGGGATATACTCACTAATTAATGAATTGAAGAAGACAAAGAAGAAGACAAATTAAAGTGGGTAAATGGAACTATAAAAGAGAGTCACTTTCAGAAAAGTTGAGCAGAGGGTGAAAACTAGAAAGAGCTTCTAAAACATGCATGCTGGGCCCTGTGCTAGCAGCTGCACATACAGAAATGATTCTTGGTCTGGCACTTCATCAACCAGATTATTTATCTGCTGATAGAAATGTTATATGCTGCTAGCATCCTAGTCTTACCTACTTTTAAAAAGAGAGTAAGATTTCAATTTTGTAAGGTTTTGAAAAATTATTTTACATATGAAAATTTAAGAAATCTGTATGTATTTGTATCTGTGTGTGTGTTTCCTTGTTAGGTCAGTGTGAACCAATTACGTTGGAACTCTGCATGAATTTGCCCTACAACTATACAAATTATCCAAATTACCTGGGCCACAGGACTCAAAAGGAAGCATCCATCAGCTGGGAGTCCTCTCTTTTCCCTGCACTTGTTCAAACCAACTGTTACAAATACCTCATGTTCTTTGCCTGCACCATTTTGGTACCAAAGTGTGATGCGAATACAAGCCAGCGTATCCCCCCTTGCAGGTAATATGTTGGGGTCTCCCCGAAGCGTCCCCATTTTCCCTCAGGGAGAACCAAGGGAATGAAGACTTAGTTTGAGTTTAGACAAAGTCCATATTGCCCAGGGGCTCTGTATTTAACAAATTATGTATTTAAGAGGTAAAGAAGTAGAAATTCTAAAATGACTATTTGAGTAAGAATTAATTACTGAAGAACCAAACAAAGGAGGTATGAAATGCCTTTGATAACATTCATGTACTTTAATCAGATAAAATCATATAATACATTTCATTTTGGTGGATCAAGAAGCACTTTTTGAAATGTGACTTAGCAAAAGAAGGGGCGGATCTGCCTCTTTGTCCGGTAACATTGATGGGTTGAAAGTGCTGCCCTCTGGTGGCGTCTAGAAGTTGGAGACGTTATGTGAGGAGAAGCCTGAAGGGGACATACACCAACCCTGGGGGTTGGACATGAGATGGTCACTGCTGATCTTGTTCTACCTACCTGAATGAGATAAGGGACAGGATTTCAAGACTGTGGCTTGGACTTAAGATATGAGTGATACCCTGTGGGTTAAGAATACTACCTGGAGTCCACTGTCTGATTCAAATCTGGCTCTTGTGCAGTTGCTGGGTACCCTGAGAAATTCCTGTCTGATTCCTTTACCTGTACAGTCAGGGTAGTAATGGTCACTGGGCTGGCCTGTTGGGAGAGCAAATGAACCAGTGCATACATGTGAAGTGCTTCTGATCACTTGTAAGCCCTGAATAAACAATAGCGCTGATGATAGGACAGGAACACGACTGCAGTTTGGCCCCTCCTCTGTGCCATGAACCTGGTTGTAGTCAGAGAACGTGTGTACACAAGGTGGCTGTCACAGAGATGGGCTGCCGCCCCCCTCAGCGCTGTTTCCCATCAAGGGCTGAATGCGCAGATCGGCTTGTCCGAATGTGAGTGGTACTACGGAAACCATATCCTGGGATCAGAAGTCACTTTGAGCTTTAAGGAAAAGCAATAACAGTAATATAGTGGACACATCGGAAAACAATAAATCATATATGATTATCAAATGGATAACAAGGTAGGGGTATCTATAGAGGTGGGACAGGAAACAATAAAATTTCAAAATGTTTTGGGGACCTGAACAAATTATACAAATAGAGTAAAACTTAATGTTGGCTTGTGCAAACATAATTCTGAAAATTTCTGTGAAGTGCCTTTTAAATGAAACATCTACCAACTTTATTTTAAAAATTTATTTCTAAATCTTATTCCATTTTTGCCAAACAAGATCAGTGTTATGAGTAATAATTTTTCGTAGTACTTTCAAGAAATCTTTGTATTTGACTTTCTTTTCTTATGTATAAGAAATTTCCCTAATGCGGTATTCTCTATTCCCTGATGCAATATTCTCTGGAACAAATTTACATATGCATATAATTTATCATTTCTGGGCTTAAGTTTCATATTAAAATGCCTATGATGAGACTGATTCTGAAATGTTATTCAGTCAACATTTTAATGAACTTTTAGATACTCTAGTTCTGTTTTTTAGATTTACACATGTATCTTTCATTTCAGTAGCTATCAAAATGATTTCTACATTTTGATATTTGTTCATAAGAAAACTTTTTTATATTAAGACAAGAATTATATGCCAATATGTCTATGAAGCAATGCATAGTTGCTTTTTTGAAGCCTGTTTATTGATCTTAAAATTTAGTTTTTAAGCTATGAGTTTGAAAAATCTAACATTACCGAGCTCTTACAATGTAAATATTTTAGGGTAATGCTGCCATCTCATCCTCAAAATAACCTTTTGAGGGAGGCCCTGCCATTAGAGCTGTTGTCGGAGGCTGAACATTGCACAGATTGTAAGAACAGTGCCCCATGCACTAATAGTGCCACATATCTTATTCTTACATACTGCCATATATTGTATTATTTTATTATTATTGTATCATTTTCATTTTATAGAAAAATGAGATTATTTCCATTTTATAGAAAAAAATTGGGAGAAGTACAAAGCTTTTCAACAATACTGTCTAAACTGAAGTAATGATGGCAGTGCCTTGGGTAAGCTGGGTTGGCACATGAAATGGTTCACGTGGCTGGTGGCAGAGGAGACCCCTGGAACTGAGTGTTGTGTAGATCCCATGACCCTTGGCAACAGACCATCCAAACTGATGCTGGGGACTTCCTGGCGTGGGGTGAAAATGTTGGAGAATGTGTCCCCTTGAAATCCAGAAGAGAGAGAGAGAAAGGCAAACTGCAGAAGGGGATCTCTGTCCTGGATGTTGTGTAAGGGTGCAAACTTGTAACTGGTAGACATATAGGTCCTGGAGGTGTAATGCACAGAGTGAACAGAGATAACAATATTGTGTTCTGATCAACTTGATAAGTGTCTAGATCTGAATTATTCCCACCACAAAAAAGAAATGATAATTATGTAACTCAGTAGAGGTGCCAACCATCACTACCATGGCAATCATATTATAATATAAAAATGTATCAAATCAACATGTTGTATACATCTTAAATGTATATCATGTTATATGTCTAATATATTTCAATAAAAAACACAATGAATCTCTATTCCTATTTCTGCAGTGAAGTCTCTTTTGGTAAAGTATGTTGCTGGAATGTATTTCCTTTATGGAGTTATTACTCATTTTGTTTTTCCGCATATCTCTTATTCATGTGTGCGCCTCTATATATTGGTACATACACACACAGAGGCATACTACACAAATTAAAACCTGCTTACATTCCTAACATACCATCTCAGATGTAGCTATTTCTGCTTCTAATGTTGTGTCTATCTCCTTCTTTTAGAGCACTGTGTGAGCACTCCAAAGAACGCTGTGAGTCTGTTCTTGGGATTGTGGGCTTACAGTGGCCTGAAGACACAGATTGCAATCAATTTCCAGAGGAAAATTCAGGCAACCAGACCTGCTTAATGCCTGATGAAGATGTGGAAGGTTAATTTTTAACTGAATCACATTGGGGTATCTAACATGGATGGATATATCAGCTAACTTTGTAAATTTCTCTGTTGCCATTGTTATTGTTGTTTTTTCTATTGAGTTGCCATTCAGGCTACAGAGGTGAGTGAATCTATAACTTAACTACATTGAAGAATTTGGTGTTTTTCTGTCAAACAGTGTCTCTATTTAAAAAACAAATTACATAGATGAATATAATTTTCCAGGTATTTATCTTAACCACAGTTAATTCACAGATCCCAGTATATATTGGTGCTGCTTTTTTACAAGGGGTCCTGAAGGCAGTGGTGCACATTAAGCCTTGGATCCTTCCAGTGCAGAGTATTTGGAGACCGTGGGAGCATAGCATCACCAAGTAGAGAAATGGTACTGGGGACCTGCCCACCAGGTAGAAAGATTAGGATGGGAAATCATTTTGACACATTAAGAGCAGCTGGGTAGTTAGTGGCATTGACCACACAGAACATTTCAGCCTCCTGCCATCATTAGGTTGTCCATTCAGGAATATAGATAATCACTGGAAAGTGTCAAGACACTAAACAAGTGGTGTTGAGAGATGGTGCCAAGGAAGGCCCTGGCTAGCAGACAGAGAAAAGCTAACTTGGAGGGTCTCAGTTTTGCAGAGGACCATCCTTATCTTCAGAAATAGTTTCCTAATAACATCCCACACACAAATAGATTATTATGTAGCTGAAAAATCAGCTGATGTCTCCTGGTTTTCTGTCTGTTGACCGTAACATGGCCAATTGTTTTTAACAGAATGCTCACCTAGTCATTTCAAGTGTGGCTCTGGACGGTGCGTTCTGGCTTCCAGAAGGTGCGATGGCCAGGCCGACTGTGATGATGACAGTGATGAAGAAAACTGTGGTATGTGGGTGAGATGGCAGTCTTCATCCATGTACAGTGCTGAGTGCTTTTAGGAAAAAGGACTGCATGAAAAGATGTCAGCTGTTTACAGATAGTCACAAGGGGGACTAGGATTGATTGCTAATGCCTTCACGTTTTATGTTTCCAAATGGCAAGGCATGAATTGGTGTTTTCCTGTTAACTCTATTGATTTTGCCTAAATTATACTTCTGTTTAGAACCTTGATGATATATGGGCAAACCCTTAGTAAAAGGAGGAGGAGCACTTTACAAATGTAAGGGATTATTTTTATTATTAGAGATTATAAAGCAGTCACTGTCTGAGAGTTTGAATAACAGTGTTTTTGCATATGATTATCGCCATGTTGTTACACAGGCATCTAGATACATAGACAGAGTTCAGGCTCCAGTGTTCAAATTTAATTGGGATTCGTTTCCATGCCATTTCTAATTTTGTCTCTGTCGGCAAAGGATAAAACTCTTCCTGACGTTTCTGCCATTGAGCTCCAAAATAACCAATGGGAAGGCCAGAAATAGCACTGGTAATTTAAGTGGAGCTAATTCCCATTTTATTTCCCTTCAAACCTTTGTACACATAACCTCAGAATGTGTCAAGGAATAGAAAATGGACAATGCTCTTTACTAAACAGTATTCTGGAGTGAAGCAAAATGATTGAAGGTCAAGCCAAAGAATAGCTTGGTTATGATTATTTAGCTTGTTCTGCTTTAAAAATGGACACTTCTGTCCATTTAAAGCATATACTGCAATACATCTTTTGAAATCATTTTATTCTTTTGGCTTTTGAAGTATGAAATACTGCTCTGCTTCCCAAAATGAATTTTCCACAGTAGACATTGCCCTTCTGGTCTAGACTAAACATCACAGGCAATCAACTGAAATCTTGTCAGCTGCTATAAATGTGGACAAGTGCATCTTAGAGAAAATTAGAGCTGTCAAAATGATGGTACAAGGACCAGAGTTAATTTTTTTAGGAAGGAATATACAGTGTTTTGAGAAGCTCCTTTTGTGTGTTTATTTCTGGTCTTTATTTAGAGAAATAAATTAAAATTCACTGAATATCCCTTTCATAAGTGGTTTATTGAGAATCTGTTGGGTTTGTTTGCTAAACTATGACTTTGATAGGTTATACTGTTCTGAGATACAATTTAAAATGGGTTATTTCAGATGGTTAAAAAGGTTACATGGTACTCTACTGGGGCAGCATGATCTAAATGTATAGTAAAGGAGTATATATTTGAGAAAGGTAAAAGCTTAGTTTTTATCAATGCTTTTATCACACAAGATTCACTGGAAATGATAGAATGAATTATCTAATTACCCTATCAAACACTAATAAAAGTTTAAAAATAACAAATCACCCTATCAAAATATTGATGGTGCTATGGAGAGCTCTCACTGAAAGTTAGAAGTGGGTAAGAAATTAATACATTTGGAGTTATATTAAATATTCCAGGAATATTAAGTTATGAGAAAACTCTCATTAAGTTTGCCAAAGTGACTGATGATAGAAACTTTGCATATATTCCCCTTTGGGCTGCATGCACACATTCGCGTGGGCATGTCCAACGATCTGGAAGACAGGACACTTGCGATCACATAAGGAAGTCATGCTGAGGAGGCCCAAGGGGACCCTATTGGGAAATCCTCCAGTTTCCACTTGCCTACTTGCTCAGTTTCTCTTTCTGTTTCCATGGTGTGCATCTGGCAATGCCAACACCAGCTCTAGGGAAACTGGGTTTCACCTAAAGCTGCATATCTTTCTGGTTTATTCTGTTCATTGTGGAATTGAAGGCACTTAAATGCTTACTTAGGCTTTGCTATTAATGTAACAATTAACTGTTTACTCTCACACATCTGCAGCTTCTCCAGAACTACTAAACACATTATTGGGTTTTTCGTCTCAAAACAATACTTATTTAATTTAGTTATAAAATTATTGATGTGTTGGAAATTTACTCTCTACTTCTTTGACACAACTGCAGCAGGAAAACATGGCAGCCAAAGCACACCATTTGTAAGCACACTTAAAAAATATATGGGTTAGACTTTAGCAATGAATGATGTTGTTCTTTCCTGCTCTTGCAAATTTTTGTTGTTTGGATTGTGTAATTGCAATTATAAACAACAGTTGGAAATATTGCTAGCATTAGAAATGTCTTCAGTAAGTGTTTGGAAGAATTATGCAAATATGAACACATGCTTCCAGAATTGCTTCATGGGAGGAAAGCCTAAGATGGGAGTGATTTGTAGAGTCAGCATTGGGTTAGTACAGAAGCATTTTATCATCTTAGAGGTTGATGATTTGTCACTAATTGAACATATACAATTTAAAGGGAGTTTTCCATAAAACTAGCAACTTAATGAAACAAGTTGATTTACAGTCTGATGTTTTCTAAACATTGATGTCTAAGCAGTGGAGAAAGAGGCAAAGATCTGAGCAAAGAAATGAACAGGAATGTAAGAAAGGAGAGCTAAGGAAAATAACAATAGGTTGTATTTCTAAGCTTTTAAAAGATTGGAGTTTGTGAGACTGAGGTTAGCTTTTGCTAGGCCTGTGCCACACTTTGGGTGAGTTACCAGCAGGAGCAAGGTGGTACCAGGGCTGTGATGCGAGCAGCAAGTGTTCTCAAGGGGCAATTAAATGAGAATATACCTAAAATAGTTTTTTTATATCTACTGCAGAAATAAAATCCTTAATCACATGAATACAGCATTACAATTACTAAGGATCACTATTCTATGTAAAAGATAGAGATTGGAGCATCAGTCCCCACATGGAGAAAGACTGACAACAATACAAATATACAAAATCGATCAAGTGCCTTTCCGTTCATCTTCAAATGATTAAAAATCATTTTTTAAATCCATCTTTAATCTCCTCTTGGGCTCAAACAAAATAAAATCTTTCACTTTATTTCAGAAATGTGAACCTTTTCTCAGCTTCAAAACTTCTTTAGGCTGTGTTCAAAAACTCTGACTCTGCTTTTTGTGGACTTTACAGCTTGATTTTAAAGTTTCCAAAAGACATTTTTCTATCAGTTTGGATTCTTTAATAGTATATATGTAACTGCACACAAAGAAGGCTTAACTGACTTTTTTAGCACTCTGAGTAGCTCATCTCCATGCCTTTGTGTCTTTTTGTTTGTGGATGAGACTGACTCTGCTCTGTGACCAGCAGAAGGCCGACAGTCATCGTGTCCACATCATATTGCTTATCCACAAAAGTACTTTCAGAATGAAGTCTTCAGGGTTGATCTCCAGTCACTCAGTAGGGTTCAGGTTTTCCATGTTAAGGGAGAGATGTTCTCTTTCCCTTTAGATAATTTTCTGCTTTGTTAACTGCTTTGCTCTCTTATTTGGCATCTTGGGCAGACAACCTTGAATGGCAGAGTGCTCTGTGTACACCTAGACTTGAATCTAAAGCCCAACTCAATGCTTAGAGGCTGTGTGACTTTTGGCCAGTTACTTAACTTCTCTGGGCCTTAGTATCCTCTCCTCAAAATGTAGAGAATATCCACTTTATCCTCCACAGCTAGGAATGCTTAAAACATACCTTATTCTGCTTAGAGCAGAAGTCAAAAACCAAGAACCAACTTGCCACAGTTGCTAGGACCCCCAGGAGGTGACTCCCCTCAGAGGTCACCGCAGGGATCTCCCTTGAGGGATGGAGTCCTGTCAGGCTTGGCCTTCTCTCTGACAGACTGAGGCCTTATTGATGGTGAAAGGAGGGCAGGCTGGCATGTCATGTCCACAGCACGGGCTGGGCAGTGCGCCTGGGTCTCATACTCAACATGGGCAGCAGGGCGGTGTCCCCTTCTGAGGTAGTGCTTGTTTTGGGGTGGATGTTCCCAGCTCCAGGATTTCGGCCATTGAGAGGGCCCCAGCCTGCAGGTCACAGGCCTTCCATTTCCTCCTCCTCCCTCCTCTCGGGGGACTAGGCCAGCACATGTTGAACAGGATGACACAAGGAAGGCAGCCCTCAAAGGGGAGGTGACTTGGGATTCGGGAGGACTGCTGAGACCCTCCATCAGAGATGGGAGCCCTGTGCCTCGTGCTGGTGTTCCTGCCCCTGAGGGTTAGGCCCGGGGCCAATGGGGAGGCAGGTTCTCTGCTTGGGCTGCTATGTCAGGGGCTGTGGCTGTCCTTTGAGACTGGGGCTCTGCTGCCCAGGGTCACACACTCTGGAGGAGCCTTGGCATCTGCTAGGCCAGGTCCGGCCTGCCTGCTGCAGCTCACAAGGTCACAGCCACTTCCTGGGACTGGTGCTGGCCCGGAATGGCTAGACGCAGACTGTTCCAGCCTCTGCCAGCTCCAGGACCCAGAATCACCTTGCCCCTTCCTCTGTGGCAGCTCCTCCCTGCTGGTAGTTTTTCTTTCATGCAGCTCAAATGAGCAGCCCTAATGAGCAGCCCTATTTACCCTGTATTTGCAAAACAGAGATTCTTAGGGTACAAGAAGCATCTGCTTTAAGGTGGGTTGCTATCTTTACCTATGATGACAATTTGTTTGGTTAGAAAGAAAAGGTGCCCCAGCTCAAGTGGGACCTGCTGGCAGGGAAGCCTGCTGCCTATGAATTTCGGGAAAATAACAGATAGGGTAACTGAAGAACTCAGCAGAATGCTTAGCATGCTTAGGGTGAAGAACCATCCCAGTTTTCAAGGGACTGAGTTGAGGGTGTTCTTAGAAAGAGGGACGTTTAGTGCTCAAACCTGGAAAGTCCTAGGCAAACCGCAATGAGCTGGACACATTAGCAACACTCCCGTGGCCTCTGTGAGCACTGTCATCATCTCTGGGCGGAGGTGGTGGTTATTCTGACATAAACAATTGATCCCATCTCATCCATACCTGTTTTTAATTATTAATGGTGTCATACCCTTTTCATCTTAAAGCATACATTTAAAACATAATTACACCAAAAATGTCACTTAAAGGGAAAATGGTTTCTTCACAAAATAATGATACTATCTTCCACATGACTAGTATCTTGAACTTTTCATTCTATTTCATTTTTGCTTACCACAGCTCTATAACAGGGGTATTTGGCCACACAAACTTTATTAGAAAAGAGAAGATAGAGAAGGGTAAATTAATGCATAAAGAGTACTCATTTAATCTATATACCCACCCATGTAGCAGGCATTATTATTACTATTTTAGAGATATGGAAACTGAGGTTCAGAGAAGGTAAGTAATTTATCCAAGGTCACACAGCTAGTGAGATTGGAGCTGGGATTCAACCCCAGGTGTCTGACACTAATGCTGTGTTTCCCTCCCTCTGACCCCTTATGCACACTACACACTATCCATTTACAGAGCACTGCAGTTAAAGACTTGCACCTGGATCCCAGCTGGATCCTTCCCATACGGCTGAGATTTGGAACAATTCATTTTCTCTAAATCTCAGGTTGCTTGCTTATAAAATGGTGATCAAAATACTCACACTATGATGCTATTGTAAGAATTTAATATATAGACTGTGGATATATAGTGGATAGTAAATGTTCTCTCTTATTATTATCATTGCTGTTCATAAAGATGCAGACTTGTGTCCCAGAAGGGCTGTGTTTGTGGTCTTTGATCAGCTCTTTCCAAATGCCTAAGTTCTCCATGCTTTTAGGAAAGCTACCTTGTCAACAGAAAGACTTACGCTGTTTTTTGTCATCCTCTACTAGCTAGCTAGTGGTGTGGTTTTTGACAAGACTAACACTGTCAGAATACTCCAGGTGACGTCTTTATCCTCTGCTAGCTGAAACTCCAAATAATATCCCCAGGAGTTCCTAGAGGGGACATCTCTGAACTGAAGACCGTTCTAGATGTAGAGCTAGGGAAGGGCCCCTCCTATTTATTTTCTGTATTTTTGAAGGGTGAAACACTTTAAATCTAATTTTAGCTCACAGTAAACATTTGTCTTCTAGTGACTTATTTTGATAACTGTTTTCAATAAACATTTTGAAAACAGCAGATTTTTCTCTTTAATGGGTTCCAAGAAACCTGAGTCACTCATCTATAAAATTTCTCTGAAATATTTGGTCGGATGAGAAATAGCATTTCTAAAGAAAGTCCTTATTTGATCACTGCTTTGCATTTCACTCATTGTAAATGAGATGATCTTTTCCTGGAAAGGACAGAGACTTTTTATTCTTCACACAAAATGAAGTTCCATTTAAAACACAACTGCGTTGAAGGCCTACCGAGCACTAGCCACTGTTCCAGGCTGGGGGATGCAGGGCATCCAAAGATAAATGCTGTGTGGCCCCTTCTTCATGCACCTCAGGGCTTGGGCAGGGCCGTGAGTCCCTCCGGAGTCGTGAGAACACCTTAGGTACTTGGCACATTCAGCAGATACAGGAAATGTGCTCATTTGATTCAAAGAGTATTTATTAAATTCATATAGCAAGTGCTTGCTATTTCATAGGTAAATTACAGTTCAAGCTTACAGTTCTGCTCCTGAACAAATTATGTTCATTTCTCAAGTTAACTGATAAAGTTTCTACCCTTAGATCTCTGAGTATGTTACTGAAGCACTAGCTTTCATACCTGCTTTTAAACTAGTTTTATAGGCATTTGGTATAAAGGAACCTGTTTTGCTAAACACAGATGGCCTCTCCATTTGTTGACTGAAATTCCATTTTAAGACAATATGCATTTAAATCACTAGATTTTAGCTTATTTGCTTAAAAGTGTAACTCATCATTTTACAGATGAGTCTTATGTGTTGGCAAATTGACTCAGAAAGCAAAAGGAATAACTGAAGATGAATGCTAATGTATAGTTGCTTTTCCATTGTTTCCCCATTTCCCATGTCACTTCTGATCTTCTCTTAGGAGAGCTGTATTATTTCTGTTGCTGTATGGAGATTACTGAGTATTTCTACTTTCAAAATTACATTTTTCATGGTATACAGGAGTAAAACTCTTCAAATAAATGAAAAGAAATCATGCCTTTATGTTGTAATTTTTCTCCGTTGCTTGATCAAATTTATCATTTCCACCTCTACGTTTATTGCAAATAACCTTCTCTGCTGTCTCCAGGCTGTGAAGAGAGAGATCTCTGGGAATGTCCTTCCAGTAAGCAATGTTTGAAGCACACACTCATCTGTGATGGATTCCCAGACTGCTCTGATAACATGGATGAAGAAAACTGCTGTAAGTGCTTCCATAGATTGGTCAACACATTTTTCATTCTAAACACTAATTGCCTATCATTTTGAATATAGCTAGAAATTGGGAAATATGTATCAAAAGCTTTTAGCATGTTCAGAACTTTGACCAAAACTCTACTTGTAAAAATATAAGCTAAGATGACAATCAAACATGTATAAAATATATGCACAATGATATCATTCTAGCATTATTTATCACATGGAAAAACACCACCACAAATATCCAAAAACGGGATATAAAATATAGCCATAAACTTAAATTATATGGAAACATTAAAAACCAAATAAAATCTCCTGGGTTTTTGCTATATCCTTAGGTGAATAAAACAACAAAATAAAGTACTATATATTAAATATTAAGTATTAAGCACTATTCTCTTCAGTTTTGAAAGCATACATACCCACACAGTGAAAAAGATCAGAAGGTCATAATAAAAAGTTTATAGTTATAATCCCTGGGTGGTGGGATTATTAAGCTTTTGTGCTTTTCTATCTTTTCTACATTTTCTAAATGAATTGCCACTACTTTTAGAATCAGAAAAAAATTTTTTCTCAAGAGATTTTCCTGCTAGTAACAGAAAGCCCTCCTCAAACTGACTTACACAGTAAAGACACTTACTATCTTTTGTGATCATAAATATCATATATCACATATATCTGATATTACCATATAAAAAGTCAAGTGTAGGGTAGATTCTTGAGGCTGGATGTGAGTCCAGCACCTCTTCTGTGATTCTTCTACCTCAGCTTGACCTCAGGCTGGCTTCCGCCATTTTGACCAAAGATGGCTGCCAAGAACACGTGGGTCACTTCCTGTGCCGATGTGACCAAGAACATCACCCTCACCTCTGGAACATCAGATTGGCCAACTTTGAGCAGGGTCCCAGCTAGCATTCAGGAGTCTTTGTGTGGATTAGAAAAGACACCATCTAAACAGCTCAATTGCAAAAAGAAGTACCCCTTGGGGAGAACCAGTGAGGAAAAGATACTGTTTCCTCCAGGGACAGGCAGCCCCTATCCCAGGCTAGGAAGCACAGCCTGGCCAGCAGGGTTTGGGCAGGAACTACCTTACAGACCATAGGCCATGACTCTGATCTTGGATCACATGTTTACCCTTGGACTAGTAACTGTACTCAGAAAAAATTAATTGTGGTCAGAAAAGTGCCATGTCCTGCTTGAACTAATCAGTATCTTCCTCTGTAGCTGTGGGGGCCTGAACAAAATCAGGTTCCCTTAAAACAGGAGGAAGAAAGAAAATGGATGCTAGGTGGGCAATCAGTGAGTTTCACTATGAACTTTAAAAAGCCAAGAGAAAATTAGTATATGACCTAGAGAGTCATTTAATAGTAGAGATTTAAAAAAAATAAACATTATCTGTATATGTGTTCAGGGCTTGTTTTACCCTGTGCAGACTTCATTCTGCTCATTCCCATGTTCTGTCTGCTATGCCATTTCAGCTTTTTACCCTGTTCTCTGGTCTCCGGTATTTCTGCTGCTATGGGTACCACTTTCTCAATCCTATTTTTGGAACTCAAGAATCCAGTCACTTGGAGATAGCAGTTCTGTTTAAATGCTTGTTGTATGTATGGATTGACATCCATGAAATGAGATTTTATCAGTTCTGTTATTCTGTTCTGATACCTGTTTGGAGGCCTCAGTAACCACATCTTTTCTTCCTTCCATGCTCCTGCTGGCTGCTGATAATGTGCATGCTCGTGATGATCACATTTGTTTCTACAATGTTTCTGTCCTCTCGATCTTGTTCCCTGTGCCAGCACTTTGCCAAGCCAATGAACTAGAATGTGCAAACCATGAGTGTGTGTCACGTGACCGGTGGTGTGATGGTAAAGCTGACTGCCTAGACAGTTCAGATGAATGGGACTGTGGTAAGCTGCTTGTTCCCGCCATCTGCTCTACCCTCTAATGCCTATTGCCCTTTTAAGCTAAATCAATCCTAAATGAATCCACAGATTTTTACTAACCAATTTCATCTATTTTGTTTTACAGTTATAAAAACTGACCATGGTGATTCACCATTTTCCTCAAAGTTACTTCTCTATTTGAAATGTCTGTATTAGATGTAAACACATTTGGTTCCAATTTGTGACCATGTAACTGCTAGAATCTAATTTTCAAACTCTTTATTATCATCCAGCTTTGACAGTCATCAATATTCTGTCATTCTTGGGTCATTGACACCACCTAGAATAGGATATTAAAGTGGCCATTCCATCTTCCTTATACTCTTGCTCCAGATGGAGATGGGACTTCCCTTTATTCTCTTAAATGGACAAGACTGTAAAGCATCTCCCACTAGTACCTGCAGTGCTGCAGTCTGTAACTTGCAGTTTGTAATCATCCACTTGGTTCTTATTTCAGTCCTTTGCATCATCTGGCCAAAAAACTTGTGATTATCCTGTGTGTTGTGATTAATTGCACAGTGGTTCACAAATGATCTGTGGTTTAATAAGTACAGAGGATATTCTTTTATAAAATAGGAATTAATATACAAATTAATCCTAAATCCACATCACTTTCACTTGTATTCTCATACGCTCTCTTGAAAGGAAATGATATGAAGTTAAAATTAGCTCCTTAAAATAATGCAAACCATCAGGTGCATCCATGGGAATGGACCCTGCCTCTGGCCATCTTACAACTTAAAAGGAAAAGTGAATAACTTCCTGTCTCTTTCACTACAGCCCATGGTTCTTTGAGGGCAGGGAACATTTCCAATTCATTTTTTCCTCAACCACCCTGAGAACAATGATTGGCACAGGGTGCTCAACAAATGGTTCCTAGTTAAAATAAATAAAAATGAATGTATGCAAATGAAGCAAAGGCATGTCAAGTTATCATTTGGTTTCATGAAAAGATATGTTTTTAATTAGATTGCCCCCTCTTTTTTTTCTCAGTGATCCTCTCTAAAAATGGGAACTCATCTTCCTTCCTGACTGCTCACAGATCTGCCATAGAATACCTCGTGTGTGCGGATGGCTGGCAGGAGGCATTGAGTCAGCTGGCCTGCAAACAGATGGGTTTAGGGTAAGGTCAGTAGTTTGTAGCACTGGTGAATTTTTCAGAGGGCTGCATGGAACTTGGCAATAGTATCTTCCTTATGAATGTAGAGTGGGTCAGAGTCCTCAAACAGAGCCCCCCAGAGCAAGGGGAATGAAGCAGGTGAGAGGACCGCATTTAATTACAGGCACCTGCTCTGAGGAGGATGGGTTGAAAACCTACACTGATGAAACCTCTGCAAGTGAAAGAATTGTATTTTAAGTACTTCTGAAATGAAACACTTTCCTTATTTATAAAAGTGTTAAGATGTTTTCCTCCAAGGAGACTGGATGGGAAAATCTTGTGATTTCCCCCTAAGACATTATTGCAAATTCCTTTTTAAGCAATCCATATTTTTAATAAGTTGAGAAATAGAGCTTGAAATTGCTTATATTTCAGTTTACCGTAAGTGATGCAGGGACATATATATCAGAAAATAGTTCACCATTTTTGCTTCACAGTAGAATGAAAAAACATGCTTTCACTCTAGATTTACTACAAACACAATGAAATCGATAGTTTGAAGTTGGATACTTGCTATTTTGTGGGGTTTTATTTTTCAGTTCTATTTGGATAGAAAGTAATAATTGAAGTTTTACTATATATATATGTCAAGTGTGTGTGTGTGTACACTTTTTTTAACCACTGATGTATATGAGATTTGGGGGGAAATATAGAAATGATAGGAATAAAAGACAAAGGAGTTTAAAATTCTAGACTAAAAAATTCAGTAAATGTCATTTCCAGGATTCCACTGAGCAAATGTGAGAGTTTACAGCAGTGAGCCATCCAATTATGAGGCAGCAACTAGCAGCCCAGTTTTGTTGCCCCAGTTTGAAGAATTAGGTACATGCCAGCATCTTCAGCCTGTTTTCCCATGGAAAGTCTCACATCTTTGGAAAATTCAGTAACTGATACTAATCTATATTGAAAGAACTTTACACTTTGCCAGAGTGGAAAAATTTCATTTGCCAAGATCCATTAAGTAGTACTTCATTTTCAGAACCTCCTTATTGTGTCTAAATGAAATGGGATATGATTACGATCAGAAATAAATGAAAAGCCTTTTGAATGTGCTCTATTTTCCTCTCATCACAACAGAAGGTTATTGCTTAATATGAACACTTGATTACATACGATAGATGACTCCACTGAGAGTTATCAGGGAAAGTCAGAACTACAAAGATTGTATAACCAGAAAAATTCTTTTGACAGGCCACTCTGTTCAGTTGCAAATACAAGATATGTTGTTTTAAATATTGTACTTTATATTTCTTTTAATTTTTTGCAATACTGGATTTAAAATTTTTTTATTGTGGTAAAATACACATAACAAAACTCACTATGTTAACCATTTGGAAATGTACAATTCAGAGATATTCCGTGTATTCACAATGTTATGGAACCATCTCCATTATCTGGCTCCTTTCTCTTAGCATAATGTCATCATACAACCTTGTATCAATACTTCATTCTTATTTATGGCTGAATAATATTCCATTGCAAGGATATACATTTTAAAATCCATTCATCCATTGATGAACATATTGGTGGTTTCCACCTTTGGCTATTTTGTGCATATTGGATTTTTTAAAAATCTCTTTATTCCATTTGCTCCATTTCCTTAAAATAGTGGGAAAATGTCATTTCAATATTTTAGATATTTTAAATCTAAATTTAAATTTAAAGTCTAAGTAGACAACAAAATCTAAATAAAGCAGTATGGCTGGAAACCATAACCATGATTTGTATGGGTAAGTGCAACAGTAAGCCTTTCAAGGAAATGAGTAGGAAATGGAATAATCTCAGTATTTTGTACTTTCTGATTGCCTTCAAGTTTACTGTTCAGTTTACTTTGGTGGCTCATGTATTTACAAAAATCTGTTGTGCTAGGCTGGGGCAGGAATGAAGAATAAGGGCAAGATGTGGCCAAGTTCGTTCCTTGGGAATGGTCTGGTTAGGAAGCTGCTTGTTACCACTGTCCCTGGAGACCAGCTGCTGTGATTCCATGATTCTGCCCGGTGCCTCAAACTCTAAGTAACCTGCACCTTTGAGGCTTTCTTCCAGATTCAAAGTCCCTAATAGGAGTGTCTATCTGGCCATGATCAGTCACTGACCTGTACTCCAGGGGCCAGAGGGAGGGGAGGGGAACAGCTGTCCTTTAGCTTCTGGAGAGGAGTATCCATCACCCTGGCCTGCTTTGCACCTTCCAACATACTCTGCATCAGAAACTTGAAGTTTAAACAATGACCCCAACTGACTCTATTCAGTATCTTCCTCCCATTGTTTTTTGAGTATCTGCTTATGGGCCTTGTACTGGAGTAGGCTTTGTGTGGAGGATGCAAAGGTCAATAACATCATCAAAGAACTTATAGTGGGGAAGACATGAGTAAATAACCAAGACCATAAAGTTAGAAAAAAAATTCCAAACTTTTTGTCATCTGAAAGTGGTTCATATATAGCATAGCACATGGCATTCTTATTAAAATTATATAAGAAAAATATTCAAGCCTAATCTTATCTTGATGCTATACTATAAATTAATTAGTCATTCATTTACTCATTCAATAAACATTTATAGAGAAAAACATTGTAGGGTAGTGTCCAAAATGAATGTACCCTAATTCCAAATAGATTATTCATCTACTTGAAGGGATACATTTTGGAGCCAGTTCATCAAAAATGCAGGTCTACACCAAACTGCATGTTTTGCAGGCTTTCATGTTAGAGGCAATTGATTACAAACACCTGCACTTAAGAGTTTTTCGGACCCAAATTACACCTTCCATGTCTAACAACACAAATGCTAGGCTCTCAACTAAATGCTTCTCCAAATGAGAAGATTCAGAGTTTTTTGCTGAATATGAAAAGCTCTGTCCTCCCATCTGCAGGTGTCCTACAGTTCACCCCAGCTGGTATGTGTGATGACTGTTTGATTAGACAAGGGTGTGTAAATCAAACTCCTTAGTTCTCATGACAGAATATAGACTTTGCTATGTGCCTGTCCAGTCTCAAAATTTATGGGCATTTAATCAACAATACAAATCAGAATTTAGCATTAAGTATGCCCTCTGCTACTGAACAAATGCTCAGTTGAGACATCTGGTGTTTGAGGAAGTTGGTCTAAGGGAATGTATATGACTCTGTGTCTCTTGGCTTCACAAACTTTATTTCTGTGTAAAGCTAGATCATCTGGAAATAGGCTGTACTATTTTTGCAAACATTCCCTTATGGAGTTAGTTGCAATTTGATTTTATGCCCTAAGAATGTTGCTGTGTATTGGGCAAAACCACATAGACAGGATCTATTATGCTACCTAAGATTCCCTGATATAAATTTAGATGTACATTGTAATTTTTTCCTAAAGTGTACTCCCAGAATGAGGTTTCTAACTTCAGATTTCATATGTTATGTAAGAATTACTTAATCCAGGATGGTTTCCTTATTCATTGGCTTCCATGAAGCTCAAAGACAGATTCAGTCCTCTGTAGGAATAAATCTAGTCCAGGTTGCCTGTCCTGTACATATAAACCATGTTAAAGAAGCTCAAAACTCTGCAGTCATTTAAAAAAATTATTTAAAAAATAAATTATTAAATTAAAATGATCAAAATAATTTTAAATTAGTTATTTACAATTATTACCTAATTTATATACCATAAAATCTACTCTTTAAAAAGCTACAATTGAGTTGTTTTTAGTATATTCACAAAGTTGTGCAGTCATCACCACTGAATTTCAGAACATTTCATCACTTAGAAAAGAAACTCTATGGCCAATTGCAGTCACTCCCCATTTCTCCTTCCCCAACCCCCTGACAAACACTAATTTACTTTTTACCTCTATGGATTTGCCTGTTGTGCATATTTCACACAAATAGAATCATACAGTATATACCTTCTTTGTCTGGCTTATTTCTAGCATAATGTTTTCAAGGTTCACCCATGTTGTAGTATGGATCAGTACTTCATTCCTGTTAATGACTAAATAATACCCCATTGTGGAGATATAACCACATTTTGATTATCCATTCATGAATTGGGTTGTTTCCACATTTTTGACTCTTAGAAAAATACTGCTATGAACATTCATGTATAAGTTTTTGTGTGAACATATGTTTTAAATTCTCTTGAGTATATACTTAGAGTAGAATTACTGGGCCAAATGGTAACTCTGTGTTTAATTTTTTGGAGAACTGACAAGTTGTTTCCAAAGGAGCTGCATCATTTTATACTCCTACCAGCAATGCATGAGAGTTCCAGTATCTCCATGTCCTCACACTTGTTATTGCTCTTTTTTTTATAGGCATTACCTGATTAAAAGAGATCACTCCGTGGTTGTATTGAGAATAGGCTTTAGGCAGACCAGGGTAGTAGCAGGAAGACTAGTTAGGAGGTCATTGAAGTTATCCAAGTGAGAGATTTGGGTGACTCAGATCAATATGGTATCAGAGAACAAGGTGATAAATGATTTGATTCTGAATATATTTTAAAAGTAGAGCCAACAGGACTTCCTAACAGACTGGATACTAATTGAGGATTGAGAAGAGTCAACAAAAAAGAATCAAGAGTGACTTAAAGGTTTTGGTTAGAGCAGCTGGAAATGGCAATGCAGTAAAGTGAGATGGAGAAGACCAGATGGAGAAAGTCTGGGGAGAAAGATCAGTCTTTTTTGGACATGCTAAGTTTGGGATGTCTGTTAGACATCCATATGTGCACGTTTATAAAGCTCAAGTCTGGAGTTTAATGGAGAGGTCTGGGCTAGAGATATATATATGTGGGAGTTAGCTGAATACAAATGATATATAGATTGGTTTAACTGGTTTAACAAAACCAAAAGAGTGAGGATAGAGAAGATAAGACCAAGGGCTGAGCGCTAACAGTAAGAGATGGGCAAGAGAAGTAGCTACCAAAAGAGATTAGAAAGAACCACTGGTGATGTAGGAGTACGCGATATCCTGGAAACCAAGGGGAGAAAGTGTATGGAGGA